CATTATGAAAGGCTTTGCAGGTGCTTTCACTTAAGTTAATTAGACCTCTCTGCTGCAGATAATCTGAGGTCAGAAGATTCATTTCTCCTGCCTGATGTAAGAGGTGTAGCCAGTTTTACAAGGGCTTTAGAGAGATGTCAATCAGGTGTGATTTTTACAAAAAAAAAAGTCTAATCAGCCCAAAGAACAGAGCACACCTGTGTTGATGCACCATGGGAATTCAGGGGATTTTAAGAGCAAACAGAGCTGTTGCTAAAATTCTCTGGTCCAATTTTATTTTGGACCACCTTATAATCCCTTTCTGATTTCAGATAACACTAATTATAAAGTTTGCAAGTTCCTCTCAAAGTTGACGTTACATGGGGGTGAGAATGATGTAATGCTGTCTGCACCACTGAGCTCACAGCTGCACTTCTCATTTCAGCAGAAGGAACAGACTCTTCTGATCAGAGGAGGCAGTTCCAAGCATTTTCTGGAGACAGATCCCTATTTGGGCAGCTGGTCTGTCCCAGTTTAGGCAAGTTATATGGAGTGGCTTGAACACCAGGGCAACTTAGATCTAACTGAAATTTTATGCACACTGATGAGACAAAAAGGGTCAGCTAAAAAAGCAGGGGTCAGCTCACAGGCGTGATTAATCAATAGGAGTAGGAGCATCAAACTCATCAGATGTGCCTACGTACTGATGATGACATGTAGCGTGTTCTAATAATATGATGTTGACAGGGAGACACAGGACCTCTATGGAACCATTTACAGTTCAATTCAAGTGTCTGCTGCCATTATCACAGGGGGCAGACCCTGTAAAGGCTACCTCCCTAATCTGCTTACAGATGCAGTTACACATAGGAGGAAAAAAGCATGCATTTTCACCTTTTCAGCAGCTAGCTAGAATGTGTCTTAATCCACAAGGCAGGGTTTGGGACATAGTATTTCACTATCCGTTTTAATTATACTAACAAGGTTCTCTTGTGAAAAGTAGAGTTTTATTTATGTTCAGGTTTCAGTAACAAGTTGCTTGATCCGATCACTGCAGATTTCACAACACAAGTTTTACAGTAGAATAGTAAAACTACCAAACAGTCACCTATCAATGACTTTGGCCACCTCAGTTCATATGTGTCCCACATGACCCGTGTCATGCTCATTGTAATGACTGCTGAAATACAAGAAAGAATGTACTGGAAGTTGTCACAACAGGTATATGTTTGATACTAGCACATACTGTTTACATTTACCTAAGTGAGATGCTTTTCACTGCTTGCAATCTTATGACAGTCTCCTCAGTCTTGTGTAATCTGCTGCAGCCTGCTGTGTGACTGGACTGTGAATGTCAGAGGAAGTTCTGGCTGACTGGCTTTTACTGTCACTACAGAAGGGATTGCACTTCATTTTAAATGTTTGTCTTTCGGGCCTGGGCATTGATTTCTTCTCTGTCTGTCTTTATTACTCTGGCTCCCCTCCTGTGTATACCCCCACCACACACACACCCATATACTCACCAACACAATCGTCTTAACTCTCCTCTTCCCTTAGTAGCATTGTGATCCATATTGACTATCCATCTTAGTTTAGCTCCCTCACTGTTACCTATTAAATCTGTAAAGGCTGTCTTGTTCTACCTGTCTATTCTCCTTTTCACATTCATTCTTCTCTCTTTCCTTTCTTCTTTCCTAGACACCTTCCTGTCTCGCTTCCTCTGCCTCTGTCTTCTTTGCTGGAAGGCAACAGAGACAGAGAGACCGAGCATCACAGTAGCTGATCGCACCTGACAATGACATTAAACAGATATTTATTCATGATCTTATATTGTATCCGATCCTAATACACGTTGTTTAATGATTGTATCTGCTGAGTCTAATCCAGTGTTCTTTTAACATGAAATCTTATTTTTTCCTGCATATTGTACAGATACAACAGCTTCATTGTGAGGAATGGATCAGGCTTCAAGTAATATTAATCCATCAAGAAAAGGCTTGGATCAGCCACTTTCCTGATCCTGCTGATTGACTTGACACTTCCATGGTTACAACTCTCCTGGTGAAATATGAAATGTCCTATTTCTACTTTGATAGTTAAATTCTGCCACCAGCAGCTGGTTTCAGTTTAACGATATGTTGCTATAGCAACCCTTGCCTGTCTTAGCCTGTTCCATAGCAGTTTATCAAACATTTTCACACTCTTATTGTAGCTTTTTTTGTGATTGTTGATTTTTTTTTTTGGTCATTTTTTAATGGTGTCAGTTTACTGCTAACCAAGTTTAATTCATTTTCTACATTCTATAAGGATTTCTTTATATTCTTTCTGCAGCTTTATTTGTTTCTTTCTGGTATGAAGGACAATGTAACTCATTTGAAAGCTAGTCTAAACCTTTGGGAATTCAGTTTCCTTGTTACTGTTTTGATTCATCTTAACGACACCAACTGTTGTTTAGGGTTTCATCTTTTCATGTTTGTGATCACTATGTTAGTTGATAATTTGTTCCCCTATACGTCAGTTTCACATTGCCTTGATATATCGATGTTGATAATACCCCTGCTGTAATTTAATGCTATATGACGATAAAAGTAGTACATTTTTCTCACTTTTATGCCATACTGAGTTTGGTTTGATGTGGGGCTAAAACCTCAAATTCTTAAGTGTCAGTTAATGTGTTGATTATATAGCTGCTTGTTACATAGCTGCTTGTCTATAACTCTTAGATAACAGCTTAAAAGCATTACATTGACATTGATGGACATATATTTCAACACAATAGTGTGGATTTTTGCACTCAGACACTGATGACCTCACTGTACAGAAGTACTTAAACTTCATAATACATAGAACAAGATGAGTGAGGGCTGAAACATTTGTGTTAATATCTGACATAGTTTTGCATGAAATATCCTAAAACCCAAACTAAGTTTCTGACCCAATCCAAAATCTCAGCACCTGCCCCAGCAATCACCCAGAGATCATCAACCCCCTGTATGCTCACACAAAATATTAGTAACTCTTACTTATTTTTGAGTTTCAAAAAACACGATATTGAATTATATAATACTGATTATGGACACCTCGAAAGGCATCATCCCACTTATACCATGGTTGCATGCCATAGAAACGTTAATCACCACTCCTGTCAATAGGACAAACCTTATGACTTGGCCTTATGATCTGGTATTTTATTTCTGCAAAATCCAAAAATGTCACTTTAGGTTGACAATTGCTACACAGCGTTTTCTGTTTACCTCTTGTACACAGAGAATCTCATTATCTGACTTGTTCATAGAATACACAATGACAAACGACAAAATATTCAAAATGCAAAAAATAAAACATTACATCTCCTCTTTAATAAAATCTATTTTAAAATCTATATGTAATATTGTGGTGTACAATATATGTGCATTTGACGCATAACAGTTTAAAATAGCACTGTAGCAGCAGGACAGAGGGTCAGTGACCTCCTAAGGGGAGAGCAGTGATTGGTGGTTATGTAGGGACTGAACCTTTCTATAGAATTTGACCTCTGACCCCTTGTTTTGTTACCTCAGAATAGCACTGTACCCTTATATGGGTTGGAGCTTTATTTTGCAGACTCAAACCCTTCTATGGTACCTAACAGATACCTAAACATATCCTATATAAGCTGTGTTTGATGTGCAGAGAGACAGTGTGGCCATCGGGCTGGGTCACTCTCCAAGCTGCTGCAGAGCTTGTAATTGATACTGAACTCCTTGATGTAATAAACTTTTATGATCAAGAACAGTGTCAAGCGGATTTCTTCTCAACACATCATCGCAGCATTATTGTTCGGACACCACAATATCACACAAAACACATGAACAGGCAACATGCAAACATTAGTATGAGCGGGGGCTCCCTCGCACAAGGGCTCATTATTAAGGCTACCTCCCGATACTCCTATCCCTAACATTACAGTAATGGCGGCATCAACTTAGCTGCTAACCAGTATAGGCTACTTATTTAACATCAGCTTACCTGCAAAATGCAAAAATGTCACCTTAGGTTGGCAATCGCTACACAGTGTTTTCTGTTTACCTCTTGTACACAGAGAATCTCATTATCTGACGTACACCTGCGAGACTTCCCTGCGACTGCCCCGGCACATTTTCTGTTTGCGTAGCGACACTGACACCTACTGTCCATTAACTGATACTATTGCTTAACCAGGACACTGGCAATGAATAACACAGCACTGTAATTCCTCACTAAAATAAACACCTCCTACACATGAATGCATTTGAAACATAAGAAAACATAAACACTCTTTTAACTTATACTATATCACAGAAATGGTCCTGTTTAATGCTCTACGCATTGGTCATTTCGCAACAATAGCAAGTGCGATGTTGGCTTATGTGAAGCATCAGTAAGTTCAGAGGTGATGTGTGGCCTAGCCTACTTCTTGCAGTGTGTTGCACTTGCCATACTGCAGTGTTCAGCGGATGAAGCAGTCAAGGAGTACAGTGTTGTAAATGACTGTTGTAATTAGTTGTCAGCGTGTTAATCCAGGGGACCCCTCTAGCAACGCCCCTGCTGCTGTGTTGTAATTTGAGGAGGTTTTCCACATTTCCACCTGAGACTTGTCAGATCTTGTGACTTTAGTCTAAATACATTGGAATTATTTGGTCACACCTCTGCCCGCAACTAATAGCCTATTCAAGCACCTGACTCCAGCCTCCACAACACATCTTCAAAGGTACAGAGACTGATAGAAACTGGAAAAAAATTTAACCTAATGGACTCTCTGTGCTGTCGTCCTTACAGTCCATTATCTCTCTCTCTCTTTCTCTCTCTCTCTCTCTCTCTCTCTCTCAGTCACACACACACAATCACAAACGCGCACCTCGCCACCACTTGCCTCAGCAGCGGCTGCAAAACTTACAAAGGTAAGCTTATAACTGATCAAAATGTTTATTAAACCTATCATCTGACGCATGACAGCGTGTTGATTTGACCGGTGTACGCATGCTTGGAGCAGGAGAGGAGCGCACCACATGTAGGCTACCCGTACACATTGTACTCTTGCTATAATCATCCGGGAACCACGGTGCTCTCTGCTTTGTATTTACATTTGTGTTTATTTAGGATATTTAAGACGGCGTTTATCAGATACCTGTGCGTGAAGACGTATTGCAAGGTAAGACAATCCTTATGAGCTAGTTATGTGCGAAATTCAAGAATACAATAATAATAGCAAAGCTGTTAAGTGTCTGTGAAGATAAAAAGAAAAGGAGGTAAAATCATCACAGGACAATATGGTCCCTATAAACTTATTAACACAGACTCCTCCATGTATATGAATGATTAATAATAAGATTGTCACTTGAAGATTATTTGTTCTTTTTTTCCAACAAATTATCACACCATCAGCTTGACAGATTCAGTTGTTCTCTTTTGTCTCTGTCCCGTGTTAGAGAACAGTCTGTATTATAGTATGTGTAGGATCTGCTGTGCAGGTGGGACGTAGTGTGTGGGCTCCAGCAGGAGTCTGGATTTAGATTTCTCTGTCTGTGCTTCCTGCCTATTGAGTTTCACTTGGCTCCAGTTTAGTGCTGCGTTCATAAAAAAAGAAAAGTTTCACCGATCTCTCTCAACATCTCTTTTGCTTCAATACTCCTGTGAGCCTATAGCCAAATAGCTTTATAAAAAGTGGAGATGGATCGTTTTTCTACTTCATTATATTGTTTTAGGGGAGCACAAGGAATCTTTATGACATTACCATAATCTACTTTATCTATAAAACCCTTAGTATCCCTAAAAGGATCCTTTTAATATTTTTAAACTTGTGCAAAATTACCTCCAACAAGAAACAGAAGTGTCAAGGACAATTCTCGCTGTGAAATCTCGTGAGAAGTGAGTTTTTGATACTAGTCTGAGACTTCAATGCCAGTGTCAGTTGCAAAAAGATGAACTTTTTTGTGGACTTTATTTTGATGGTAATTGGAAAAATGAATACATTGCAGCTGGTATGGGATGCCAACTGAAGCCATTAACTGCACAGAATCCAAAACATTTTGTACCTTTTGCCTTTAATTTCTCTAAGGATTTGGTTTGGATGGTGGCTTGCCACTGTGGTATGTTGCTATTATAATCATCGCTAATGCTCCAGCAGCTCCTACAATATGTCCATGTTCTACTGCTGCTCTGTATTCACGGCAGGATTCATACCATCGCTGCATTCATGATGCCGATTTGTCCTTGAACTTTTATTCTCTGCATTATGCATCTGCGCTGCCACAGGCCAGCCCTTCTAGCATGTACTTGTTCTATGTAGTGCTGCAGGGCCCTTGCTCAAAATCCATGCTGTCAGCCTGAAATGTAGATTTATTTTAGGGGATTTAAGAACAAAATAACAATGTCTGAGTACCTTTTTTTGTGGTCATGTTTGTTGGTACTGATTACAAGCCCTCCCAGGGGTCCTCGAGGGCTTTCAAGGGGTCCCAAAAATCAGCAATCAGATGAATGACGAGTGCAATACTGAACTGTTGTAGTGCCTCTAATGACCACAAGATGGGCCATTCAATGAAACTCAGATTGTATTACTGCATTGACAAAACTCAAATTCTCTTTTGAATGACACAATCAAAAACATTTTTTCCACAAGATTATATGGTCTCAATAGCTTATTTGCATTTTTTAATTGACTAGTTTGATGCAATAAAGCTTCCTTGTAATTAATTGCCAAATTTCTATAAGCATTTTCTATTTGACAAACTGCTCTAACTTTGAAACATACAATGCAAATCTAGATGCACATATTAATTTAGCAAAATTTGAAAGGATTTTTTCTGTAGGTTCTACATTTAAATGCTACATTTAAAATACCATACGTTAGACTAGTCCGCGAGCAGGAAACCAAAATTCAATCTGCAGTTTCTCTTTAGATACCTGAAAGTGACATCACAGATGGTACAACAGTTATACTTTTTCTCTGTCTATGGTAAGCCAAGGATATGTTTAAATGCTACAGGAGCAAACTTCACACTTTGGAACTTTCACTAGGACTTTTTTTTGACAGTTTAAAGGGTTTCACTGGCCAAAAATCTTGCAAGGCAACACTAAATGTCTTCTTCTTGTTCTCTGGTGGGGGTGGAGGTGTTGAAGAGTTTTAGGCAGCGTTAGTGTGTCTGGATGGACTCCTTGCTCACTTGCTGCTTTGATTTCTGCCTGAAATTTTGATTCATTATTTTGTGTTCACTGAGAACACTTCCTAATAGTGACTCAACTGCAGCAGAACCTGCATGTTCTTAAAGGAGATGAGATGAGAGCCTGGTTTTACGGTGCAAAAATCTTATCCATTGTATCAGATACTTCATGGTTCTTTGGTTTTTTGGCCTAAATGTATATTTAGGACAGGTTCTTATGGTCCTCAAGTCCCTTTGAATCAGGTTTTATGTATGTCATTTTGTGGTATTTTTTTTATAGATCTATTTTGTGTTGACTCCAAGATTCTGGACCTATGAGGACCGTTAGTACAGACAAACCTTAGGGGAAACAGTTGACCAAATGAGTAAGAAGTCTTCCAATTCAACTGACAAGATATGTTGATTATAATTGCGTGTTTTGTGACCTGACACCCCATATCAGCATAATATTGCTTGTCTTGCCTTCCAAAAGAAAAGTATTAGCATTTTCTAATTTGACAGGCCTGTGGCATAAAAAAAACTTGGAAAAAGTTGGGGACAGAATTTTGGTTACGGTTAAAGTAAATGGAATGCAAACAGCAGTCTCTGTGCCAAAGATACACACTTCACTTGTCCACCCAACCTTCATCTTAGCTAAGATTTGTACCTGTATAAAACCGTCACCGGTAGTTCAGCCTTTGGGCCTAACGGACAATAGTCATAATCACAATCTGCTAGATTTCCTTTGTACGATAAATGTAAATATCTGTCGTATTTAGACATTTGAACAAAGGACTAATGCTGTTGTTTTTCTTTGGAGTTTCCAAAGGGGGTTTGTGTTTAGAAGCACTTCTAGTGCTGTTGGTATCCCATGCTGTGTTGCTGCTGATGCCTTGCATGTGGATTTTGGGTGCCCTGCAGTTCTGGCAACAGCTTGCAAGAAAACAAAAACTAGCAAAACCAGGTGCTGATGGGGATGTTCTCTTCAGGGACACGCTGCTTGTTGTAATGTAGGATGAGTTCAAGCAGGAAAGTGGCTGCTCTGCTGAAATGCCCTTGAGCAAGGTATTAAATCCCTACTTGCTCCGGATCTTTCAGCTTTGAGAAATCAGCATTGTGCATTTCCAAGCATGAAACAGCACTCAATGCTTGTGATTAAGCCATCGCACCAACAGGAAGAAAGTTGGATGGATGAAACATGCTGAGACACTGTGCTAATGACTCACAAGTCTGTCATCTCTCCTGTGAATGTTCATTCCTCATGGACTACACAGTATGCAACCATGTATATCCAAAACATAAGTGTGTGTGGTGTTGGTGGGGGGGGGGGGGGGGGGGGGGGGGGGGGGGGGTGGGACAACGTGTGTGTGTGAGTAAATGTGTGTTTGCATCCGTCATGTATGACATCCAGGACCCCTCTGCACACCAATGGAATTCACACACTATTTTTTTTAATCTCAGCAAAATCCTCTCAGCTGTTACATCCATCCCTCTACTCCCCCAACACGCACGCACACACACACACACACACACACACACACACACACAGACACGAACACACACATACACGCTCGCCAGCTCCACCATAGACTTTGGAATTCACTGTTGCCATGGCAATGGAATAGAGCACGCTCTCTCGCATCGCCTGTTCTTTTCTATTGCTTTCTCTCTCTCTCTCTGTAGAGGCAAACCAGCTTCTCTTGTTTGACAAGGGGCTCATCTTTGGCCATCGGCATCAGGTTTTGGATGTTTGTTTATTTGTTTGTTTGTTTTTTCAATGACATATCATCATTCTCATATAGAAATCATGTTTGTATGAGAGATGCTTCTGTAGAGGAGCGTCCCCTGGTCTCAAGACTCATGTCACGTTCGTTAATTGAATCCATCCTTTCCCCTCTGTATCTACTCATCTCTTCCTCTCTCTTTCCTTGCTCTCCCTCATCTTCTCCTTGTCTTTTTCTTCGCTCCTTCTCTTTCTCTCTTTCCTCTCACTCCCTTTCATCTGCTTTTTACCCCTCCGCCTTTTTCTTCCTTTCTGTAGCTAAGATGACTGCCATGACAATTCAATGAGAGGAGAGGACGCCAAGTGAAGCATCCCCCGCTGACTAAAAAGGAGAGAAGTGCTCAAGGTAAAAAGAGGAGAGGGAGTAGAAGAAGTGAAAGAAGAAGAAGAGGAAGAAACAAGGGATAAGAAGAGAGAGAGAGGCAGAGGAGTGAGAAAAGAGGCAGGGGAGAGAAACTGAAGGATAAACGGTGGATGGAGGCGGCTCGGACCGGGGCTACGGAGCGCTCTTCACCGACGAAGAAGAAGAACAGCAGCAGCAGCGGGGGGGAGAGGAGATGGAGGCGAAAGGCAGAAACATGCCCTCAGGTAACGTTCTCACACACACACACACAAAAACACACACACACACACACAGAGGCAGATGTGCATGTGGTCTTAAATACACGAACAACTAGATGCACATGTGGATTCTTGTATGCATACACTTATAAATGACAAATCCATAGATAGATATAGATATTCAAGTACATTCAAACACATATGGACAAGTATGGACAAACACAATCGTGCAGGAAGCCACCCATACACACACACACACACACACACACACACACACACACACACACACACACATTGGAGTGCAGATGTGAACAGAGGTCTGGATTCAGAAGCCAAGTGGTTGTGATTAATCTGCGCTGGCATTTGTGTAACCAAGCTAAACATTTGCTTTAGAACAGAGACGACTGAAGGGAGTGCTGACACAGAAGCAGTTAAGAAAATTCAGGGAACATGCTGTAAAAAATGAATTTGTGGTGGTTTAATTGAACAGCTATTGCAATACTGACATTATCAGCGTGAAAATTGAAATGTCAGTCAGTTTTATGTTGTCTTTACATCTTACATCTTGGCCCTGGATGACAGATTTTTTGAAATGCACATGCTTGGTTGGTTGGATCCCAGGCTAACCATGATCAAGTAAAGCTTTTAGTGCCTATACTGGATGCAACTGTGTTTTGTGTTTATATGTAAGAGTACAAAATATTTAATTTGTTGCCTGAACTAGCTTTGTCACTGCAACCTGAAGCATATTTGTACACATGTACTACAAGTTTGCTTGTAGTAAAATCTGTGCACACATAAACCTGCCATTTAACTGACTGGGGTTTAATATATTTTAGCGTTAAGTATCATACGTGAAAACACTTCACCACATCCATATATGACTATTCTCTAATAAATATTAGACATGTCAATGGCTAAGCATCCACGTTACAGGTTTTTTCAATGCAACATTTTGAATGTCCAACAGAAATGTGACGGGACCAATCCAGTGTATACGTGGAGGAAGCCTGTTGCTGCCATGTTGACAGGTTTACTTTAGCTTGAAACAGCCTGGTAAAGAACATTTATTTTGGAGAATGGGACACATTTTCACTGTCTAAGGATAGATGCTGTCACATGCTGCTGATTAACCACTTGGGGCAAATTTGTGATATTGGGCTATAAAATAAAATTTAATCTGAACATTGTTGTGTTGACACAACATTGACTTTTTTAAATGTAAAGTTAAAAAATAAGTGTATGACAGCTTTCCTAAATATGCAGATTCCTATTATTAAATGTAAATATAATTAACAAATACATATGTATTATTAATGATTACGCTACCCAGCAGGATACAAAATAGTTTAAATTAGCCTCATCTTTACCAGCTGCAGCAATAAAGTGATTCTTACACATTAGTGCATCAATAATTAACATTCAATAATAAATATATATATATATATTTTATCAGAAATTGACTATTCTGCATGGTGAGTACTTTAATTTTTGGTACTTTAAGCATATTATGATGTTAATACTTATGTACTTTTACTTAAATACTATTTTGAATGCAGCACTGGGTTGCACCAACTATGTCTAAGTTCAAACTTGAACGTAATTTCTAACTTTCTAACTATTAACGTTTTAAGGGTTGCACCAGTACGTCCAACGTAGACATAAGTTACAACTTAAGTCTTACACCTAGTCCTTAATAGGTGTAAAGTCCTCCATAAAATAGTCGAGTGGTTGTCATGGCGCATCATGGGGACCAGGAGGAGCAAATTATACCGGGCCCTTCTGCTTAACCGAGCGCACACAGCCTGGATGACAGCTCATTTCGGTTAATGAAGCAAAATGCAGATCGCAGACTGGTTAAGTTATGAAGGTATGAATTGAAAATGTAGCAAAATGAAGAGCAGATTACTGGCCCAAAGAAAATACTGTATTAAAGAGTAAAAATATGAATAATAAATAAATATGATAAGGCAATGACTTATTTTTATTTATTTATTTATTTTGCAAATTTGCGTTACTTGTAACAAGTTACTACCCACCCTGCTGCAGGCGCCCTCACTGCTGTCTTCAGGTAGGCTGTAATAACAGCAGCACAGAAGAAAAGTCTGTAATATTGAGGCACTTAGCTGAAGCTGTCTCCAGCAAACTCTTATTTTGTCTCCCTTAACTTTTCAGCACCTCACTTGCATTGTATCGGATGTTTTCTATAGGCCTACACGTTTTTTGTCCGCGTTTCAACCGTTTAATTATGTCTGATGCGGAGTTTGTGATTGATTGACTAGTCACTTACAGTAAACCTTCTCGCCTAGCCAACTCCAAAATCGCCGGAGAAAAGTGGGGGGGGGGCAAAACATAGATTTTGAAATATGAGCGGGACATGTCCCCCAATGTATAATGGCTCATACGCGTATATAAGTTATAATGTTATAATTTCATCTGCCAGTTATACTTTACCATTCGTTACGGGCAAATTACGTCTATGTTGTAGTTAACGGTTTTACCACTCGATGTCACTGTTGGACTAGTTGTAGATTAAGGTTTCATAGTTATCACTTAATCATAATTATTTGTCCTTGTTTACATACCTTTTTGTTGTTGTTTTGTTGCTATTTTTAGCCGTTACCCTCTTCAGTATTGCAAAACGTTGAAAGAGAGAGAGACAAACAGATGACAATACCGTAATAAACTCTGTTAAGAATAGTGCCGTTCACTGATTGGCCATGGGATGTGTAAAACGTCATTTTCTGCAACACTGTTTTGATTAGTATGGACTTTACGCCAGAGTAGCTAAGATGGACCTTAAGGGCCTGTGTCGACCAAAGTGTTTTTTGCCAGATGAAAACGCCACCTGCTCTTCTGAAAACGCCCAGCAGGAAGCGCTAGCGGGCGTTTTTGAGGCGTGGTGTTTTTTTCAGACTGCTTTGGTTGCTATGGTACATAAAATCCATTGTAGCAAGGAGTTCTGCCTAAATTTACTGGATGTAAAAATGTCAATAGAGAGTAGAGTCCTTGCCCTGGCCCTTGCTCTGTATGAAGGGAAGGCTGAAGCAGGTAGAGAGAGGGGACGGACTCGCTGTATGTGGGTTCATGAGATTTTGTGGGCGAGGAAACATCTCGGCGAGTACCACCGTATGGTCCAATAGCTGAGGTTGGACGAAGCCCTGTTCCAGGATAGTAACCGTTGGAGGAGGGGGCGGGACAAATACCACACCATCCAATCTTGAACGAAACGATGTGCCTACTCGCCGAGGTGTATCCTCGCCCGCAAAATCTCATGAACCCACGTACGGACAGTCTGTGCTCTCATGTTTCAGCCTTCTCTTCATGCAGAGCAAGGGCCAGAGCAAGTAGGCCTACATACTTTGTGGTGACATTTTTACATTCAGTAAAATTAAGACGGCTACCCTACTTGCAGCACATCGCCTCCACGGAATCTATCATAGCAACCACAGAGTCTCAAAAAAAAAAAAAAACACTGCGCCTCTAAAACGCACCCTAGCGCTCCCAGCTAGGTGTTTGCAGAACAGCAGGTGCCGTTTTCAGCTGGCAAAAAACGCTTTGGTGGACACAGGCCCTAAGTCTCGGTGGTGCAACCAAACATCAACACAGCTTAAGTCTCAAACTAACTAGTTTCAACGTATTAGACCCTAACTTAAGGTAGAACTTACGTATCGCTGGTGCAACAGGCTGCAGGACTTTTACTCGTAACAGATTCTATCTACACTGTGGTATTAATACTTTTACTTAAGTAAAAGATGATTCTTCCAGCAATGTATTTGTATTACTTGACCACCCAGTGCAGTGATGTATTCAGTCTTTTGGGGACTTACCTTATGCATATTCTAGCAGGCAGGTCAGTTTCAGGGTCAGAGTACCAGTGGTCTTTGTTATTTTGGGATTTGTGTTCCCATGGAAACACCCCTTAGGCCAGCTGAATTAGCCAAATAGTTTAAAAGCCCACACATATTATCTATGCGATAGATTGTTTACTTTAACCTTCCATTTGTGATTGCATGAACAGAAATTGTAGTCGAGGGTTACCAGAACGCTAAATGAGTTTTAATGCCACCATTAGTCCAGCGTATTCATTCACATTATTGAAATTTAATTTGAGGAACTAAATAATTAAATGGATCCTATGCAGATCCCACTCCCTTCCATACTCTTTGGATGTTTAATTTATGTTTCCTGAAGCACAACAGATGTGTTGCATGTCAATTTTCCTCTCATTGTCTCCTCTTTCCTCTTTCTTTTCATTTCATCTCCACTCGTCTTTTATCGTCTCTTCACCCATTCCTCTGTTGTCTCTATTACCCTCCTATTTTTATTAATGTGCACAAAAACCTCTGTACCCTCCTTTACTTTCTTTTCTTTCCCTCTGTCTTCCAGCAGTCCTTCTTCAACCCTCCACTTTTCATTGTGTAATAATTTTGGATGTTTTATATTTTTGTTAATGTAGCGGGACTGGCATGTTGTTCCTCTGCTGGCCTTCTGCTGCCAACATTTCTTTACTGCTCCAGGCTTTGTACGCTGTTTGTTGATTAAAAACCACTCCACTGTGCTCACCCAGAATGCAATGGAAAGACTCAACCCCATCAGCAGCTCCCACCAGTCACCCACAGCAGCCAATGGGTGATAGTAGTTATATTAATGCATAAATATTTGACAGTTCAAATGCAGGATTTGTGAACAAGGTGTAATGCAAAAGATGTTACTTGTCGTATTATTTGCATCACGTTTTTAATTTCATTTAAATCTTTTAGGTAATTTGTGAACCTTCATTGAAATAAGTGACTTAAACAAGAGTGTATTTAGTTTCAAATTAGCTTGAATACTGAAAATAATGGATTATTTGGCTATGTTAATAAAAGTCTTAAAATTAATCAGTACCCCTTTAGGAAAAAAAAACGGAGGGTCTCACACACCAAAGGCAGGTGTCTTATCCATTGCGCCATCACCACCAACTGTTATAGTAAAGTTTTAATCTTTCCCTTGGATCAGTGTTTGGTTGTAGCCCTCATCTACCTCACTCAGTGGGGACATTACATATCCTGTTTACATCAACCAAAACTTAGTGGGAACTAAGGCAAAAAAACATATTCCTCAGAATGTCCCATGAGCAAGTCCCATGACTTTTACTTTGTTCAAGAGCAAAAACATTCAAGCAGCTGTCTTTTTAAGGCACTCTGGATCCTCCACCCCACCTATGGTGTTTGCCAGCTGTCTTTTTATTCTTAAAAACTATTTTTATAGGTTTATATAGATGCAGCAGTAAATCACGATCTGAGTGGATTTAAAATAACAGTTGTCTAGTAAGAAAAGGTAATACTGTTTGGTAAAGTTGATAGATAATGTAATCTATTTCTCTAAATTTCAAATCAATATTTTACAAAGTATATTAAGTCACTGTAGGTGATTTATGTTATCCTAGAACTGGGGAACATGTTTTAGCTCTTTTGGTAGATCATTTATGCCACTTCTAAATCTCCCATCCTTGTTGAAGGATCAATAAAACCAACATACATCTACCAATTAAAAGACTATACTTGGTTGTGGTAAATCAATATAATGACTTGTTGATTTGTGATAGTTGGAACTACACTGAACAAAATTGTAAAGGCAATACTTTTGTTTTTGTCCCAATTCATCATGAGCTGAACTCAAAGACTCTATGTACACAAAAGGCCTATTTCTCTCACATATTGTTCACAAATCTGTCTAATTCTGTGTTAGTGAGCACTTCTCCTTTGCCAAGATAATCCATCCACCTCACAGGTGTGGCATATCAAGATGTTGATCAGACAGCATGGGTATTGCGCAGGTGTGCCTTAGGCTGGCCACAATAAAAGGCCACTCAAAGTGCGTTTATAATTTGGTTCAGTGTAGTATTATTCTGCACCAGTATGTACTCATAACATATGACTCTGGTGTCTTTGTTCATGTCAGATATTAGTTTCCTTCCCCGCCCAGCGATGGTGTGGTGTGAGCGGGGAATCCAGGTGCTGCTGACTACCATGGGAGCGTTCGCGGCCTTTGCCCTGATGACGGTGGCTATCGGTACAGACTACTGGCTGTATGCCCGCGCCTTCATCTGTAACAGCACAGCCAACTCATCCCAGGAAGACTCCAACAACAAGGACAAGAAAGACCCTGGGGCACTCACCCACTCTGGCCTCTGGAGGATCTGCTGCCTGGAAGGTACAGCTGGCTGTATATGAGCATGCATGTACATGCATGTGTGTGTGTGTGTGTATTGTGTGTTTGTTCAAGGCTCTGGAAACCTTTGGATTCATTGGGGGTTGAATGTGTGTGTGTTTTCTCATGTGCTGGTCACTGGAGGGTCTTGCTGAGGTCAGTGTGCTCATCATTGTAATCAGAAGAGACATAAATAGGTGTTTCTCCTATTCACATACACACACGCACAAACACACAACTTCTGATCTGATCTTTAACCTTTTGGAATCATTATGAGATCAGTTAGAAGAATGACAATCATAATTGGTAATGTTCAAGCCGCTGCCACCTCAAATTTGCAACGTTGCAACCTTTAAGTGACTAAAGCAGAGTCAGGTTGGATGGTATCCAGATTTCAGTCTGTGGTAAGGTTTAGGCAACATAATCACTTTGGTTAAGGTTAGGGATAGATCATCGTTTCAGTTAAATGGTAATAAACATGTTGTGTGTCTCAAGTCAGGGTTAGCGTTTAGGGTTAGGAGTTTTTTTGTATTAAACCAGTCCATAATCATTGCCTAACCTTAACAAGTGCTATAAGTGCCTAAACAAAGGATAAAATTGTTTAATAATGCTGTAGTCACAACAAGCATGTATTGTATTACAAGATTGGATGTTAGAAATGTTAACATGCATTATACTGATACGTTTAGTATCAACATTTTTGTGACTTTTCAGTTATGTTAATTAAAAACATTTACTCACGTTAAAAGAAAATGTAATCAGGACTGCGTGATATTTTCTCAAAGTGTACTTGAACTTGGTATCAGTTGTACATAAACTTTATTTCTTGGAGACAGGGTTTAGTATCTTACTTCCCCGAATTACCAGCAAAGAATAAAATAAACAATAATAATGAAATTACTTGCCATGTATATCATGTCAAAATGCGGAGACAAGATATATCCAGAAGCTGTGATGATAGTGTTGCACCCTGCAGCTGCCCACACACGTATACAAATACAGAACCCCAATGTCGCCAAGCAGCAGATGCAGCAGGAGCAGCTCGCTGTCTGAAAGCAATTGTCAACCTTTAGTAATGAAATTCCTTAGCTATAAGCAGATCTAAAAAAAATAGGTGACATGTAGTATATGCATTTTCATATATTTGCAGTTACAACACCTACAGTGCATTTTGGTATCATCATGACATGTTGCAGTAGACTGATAATAAGATGTTAGAAATGCCCTTTGTTCATGTTTTTGGTACATCCTGGATTGTTGCACAATTCAGATAAGAGGATTTCTAGATGGGTAGTGCTGAGGTTTTTTTTCCTGTGTTGCACTTGTTCTTTTTGTTTCATGCACATACATACAGTACGCATTCAACATAAAGATCATCACAATGCCCCACAGCTCAAATATGAGTGGTGACTCATTCAGTGACTGATTAAGTAGTTCTCCTGTGCTGCTGCAGGTTTAATTGGACAGCACATACATACATATACAGACTAAACACTAACAAATACACAAGATGAGATATCCAGGATACAGCTTTCTACCATAAAGGTTTTTGTGTTTTACTAAAGGATTGACATGTTGCATTTTAACGGCAGTAAATTGCCACATTCATTTTAAGGCATTAGTATTATTACCATACACAAGAGAACTGCATCAAGGACAGCAGCATCCTTTTCACGGCATTTTCCACTGTGTGCAATGAATTCTGAAATGGAAGGACATTTGTTGGCTTTCTAGTTTCAAAAGTTTCATCCAGAATGAGTTAATCAAGTTTAGTTTTTGCAAAATATTTCATATGGGATGGCCACTTGTTTGAACTGACAGTTTAACATGTATCTTGTGGTGTGACATGCACTGCAAGGTTGTTGTGTACAGAACTGTGACATTTGTTGTTACCTACCTTATTTAGAAATCATCCAAGGTAATATAAACTACAAAATGCAGTACAAATACTCTCCCCTTTCATCCCAATCTAATGAAATCCCTTTGAATCCATGATGTATGGGATAGTCTGTCTTGAAAATATTAGATTTGCTTCAGGTTTCTCTTGGCTGACTTTAGTTTTGCACAAGTGTGTGTGTGCCTGATGTTTCATTTTCCTGTCTTTAATTTTATTGCAAGAGAAACACTGGATTTCTATTTTCCTCTTGATGTTTATTTTGTCCATGAGAAGGACAACTACCTTTCAAGGTAAACAAATAGTCCCTCTTAAAAAGGAATGTAAGTATACTTCTGCAGTTTCTGTTATGATTTACAAGATAAAACAGAAGCAGGCTACTGTTCTTCCAGAGATAAAGCTTTCAGAGTGTCTAGTACTGGCACATGGTGGAAGGAGTGTAAAGTCAACTTACTGTACACTACCATACAGAGGAAGACGTATAGCAATCATGTTTAAAAGAAAATTACAGATTATGATGCTTGATTCAATACAAGCTGATGTGGGCATCATGACATAGCTGAACAAGTTAGAATCACCCCATTTTGGTCGGGTCGTAGAGATTCAAATCGTTTGCCTTCTTATCCAATCACTGCCATAATCAAGATTTTCAAGATCAAGTTTTTTTTTTTCTAAGCTATTCTAGTGGCATGACTCTAGGGACGGTAATGGCTGTCAGTTAGTCCAACACTTTGGTCCAGACTGAAATATTTCAATATGGATTAGCATGACATTTTATACACATATTCATGGTCCTCAAGCAGTGACTCTGGTGATTCTCTGACTTAAGCTGTGTTTCCATCAACGTTTTTTTTGTGCGCATTTTGAAATATTGCATTAGAAAAGGTTGATGGAAATGGCAAAAATCCTTAATTTCGCAAAAAAGTTTTTACGCTCGCTTGAGGTGGTTTTTTGCCTTTGGTGAGATGGAAACACTTTTGACAAATACGTTCTGATGTAGGGAACATGTAACTCACGACTGATCAGCTGTTTCTGATATTCCCTTAATGTGCGGAGACATGGCTGGTAGCAGTTTGTCTGCTTGAAACATATTCCTAAGGACGTCACTCTATTTTTCTAAGATCAATGGCCATCAGTTCCATGCGGCTGGTTGTGTGTCTGGTTTGGAACGCATACGTCTTGTTTATTACAGCCATGTGTAACATCAACTACTGACGGAACTATGCTTGCCATAGCCTGGTTTATTTGCTCCAAACCAGCTGAATCCGCTTAAAATTCACATGAAAATTGGATGGAAACATGGCTTTTGAATCCAGGTCTTTCTTGCTCTCTCCATCTTCCGCTTTTTAAATCTAATGTTTTCTCATCAATAGTTCATTTGTCTGTCTTGTCTATACATAGGGTGACCAGGTGAGAATGGTGAAATTCAGTATAGGGGAGCTGAGGGTGGGCGCGGCCTCCAGTACATTATATTCATTGTCAGTGAACAGTAAAACATGTGAAAGTCAAAACTCAATGCTAAAATGAATTTGTTTTGTTCATGAAGTAAACTGTCTGTCATTAGGAATAAACATGGTGACAGTATTTTATGTAACAGTGTGTAAATCATGATCCGTTACATACAATTTATTTTATTTTATTTCTTCAGTGCAGTGCAGTTCACATCTGTCTGCGCACCACACGTGTCAGATCTCTCCTGCGAGTGCAGCTTTCATCATCTTCATCTACACTAGAAAATGAAAAGGGGAAAAGAGCATGCACATGTGGGACTTTGTGGCTATAACAACTGTGTTGACACGTTGACCACAATACCCTGCAGTCCTTGCTGTAGCCAATGGAGAGCCGGAACAGTGCCCATCTGCGTACAACACCAAAATAATGTTTCACAATGATCTGTAATTAATGTTTAATTATGCTAACTAATCAAAACGCATATTTAGTCAAATTTTTGGGACAAACTGGACAGGATTTGGGACAAACCTGTTTTCTTGTTTACTTCTTTTTCTTCATCTCCTTCATTTCTCTTCTTATTTCTCTCTCTGTGTGAATGTGTTTGTATTCCCTTGCCATCACATCATCATTTTCTTCCACTTTGTCTCACCAATCTTTAATTTTTCTCTCCATAATCGTCGTTTGTTCCCATGTCTGTATTCACTTTGTTCCCATCACTTTCTCTTTGCTTTATTTTCCTTTTGTCTCCCTATTTTAATTTCTGCAAATCGGTCTTTTACCTATCTTTCTCTCTTTTATGTGATCTCTACTTTTTCTATACCGCCTTCTTCACCCTCTCCCTCTCTGTCTTTTTTCAGGCTTGAAGCGAGGTGTGTGTTCCCAGATCAATCATTTCCCAGATGACGCAGACTACGACCAAGATGCTGCAGAGTATCTGCTGCGTGAGTGACAAACAAACACACAATTGAACAACAAATGCACACAGACATGTGAAATGGCATAGACACACTTTTACACTGCCAGCAATAGGTATGCATACACACATCTCAACAGAACACAACACACATACACACCTTACAGTTTCCATCACACACGGATACAGAAAGGACAGAAGGGGATGGTGGGCGGACATCAATGCACGGATGTCAGATTCAAGCAAAGCGTTCCTGGAGAGGTGTGTGTGTGTGTGTGCATGCGTGTGTGTGTGTGTATGTGTGTTTAAATGCCCAGGTGCATGGGGTTGGGAGTCTGGGGGTGTACAGAAAGCTTTTTTTTTTCACAGATGGATTGAAAGAACAACCTTCACTAATGGATTATTTTCAGCTCGGGATTCAGGTTTCACATCTTCCTTCACACACCTCCATTTTGATATCAAATTCTGTTCGTACAGCCCTGAACCTTTTGGTTTACAAGGTATATGTTCCATCCATATATATATTATATAAAGATATCTATTTCTGTGAAGAAGGTTGCGATTCTATCTTGTCTGCATTGCTGTGCAGCCTTGACTGAACAAGAGAGCTTTTACCTCTGCAATGGCTGCAGAATCTTTTCTATTTGTTTTAATAATATAAAATGTTTAGAACTTATTGTTGGGTACTTTCTCTAGCTTTTTTTGGATTCAAGTGACTGCAACAGTTGATGAGAAAATAGTGAAAATGTTAAGCAATCTTTTGAAATTCTTTTGAAATTCCAGCCCCCAAAACTAAAGCTTCTATTATTATTCCAATTATTTTCATTAAAGATAAATCTGCTACTTCTGTTTTTTACGGATAGATTAATTGTTTTGTTAATGAAATTTCAAAAATGTGACATCTTCAAATAGCTTGTTTCAACAAAAGCCCAGAACCCAATGATATCCTATGTACAATTCTGTATGCCAAATATAGCAAATTCTTTCATTTTAAAAGTTTGTCATTTTGGCTTGCAAAATCATCAGTTGATTATCAAAATATTGCAGGATCTTCTGTTGATTGATTAAAAACTTAACTGACTAATCATTTCAACTCTACTTGTAACAAACAAAATAAGACTAAAACGTCAACCTCATTGGAGGTTATTATGACTTGACAAAATTATTCTGTTGACTTAACACAGACTGAGGGTTTGTCACCCCAAAGGTCAGAAAATCACCCCAAATCCCCTGCAGCTCAACATCCTTTATTATCAGCTACTTATCAGATAATCAGTGAATTGTGCTGAAGAGGTGAACACCGCCCACATGGTCCATTTTTAGTTTAGAGAATTATTTGCAACCACTGTTTGACATGTCTGACAGAGGCTTCTATTTATGATTCATGATTATCAGCATTATCTTTTCCCTTCATAGGCAAACAAAAGATAACGCAGCTTGAAAAGTCACCTTCAAAACTCGAAGGCGCTACGATTCCACATGTCCCTGCCAGAGATGACTACTCAGCACTTTAATCTTCTATAATGTCTGACTACGTTATCACTACTGCTTATAGGTTTGAGGTGTCTGCAGAGGAAAATACTGAGGGATTTGCATTTGCAGCCTTTCTGGAGGTGCCGAGCTGCTTATTGAGAGTCAATAAATTGTATTTGATAATGAAATAATTATTTTGTTGCTAATAAACATAGTTGATTTCATGCTTTGTACCTGCTGCCATTGTCAGCAGAGTAGAGGAACCCATAACCAGACCCTTGTTGAGCAGGGTCATGCTCCAATCGACTATACAACATGTAGACATTGTTTATTTCAGCAGTTAATATTGTAATTCTATACAAATTGGGGACTTGTGAGTAGCATACTTTAAAAGTACAATCAAAGAAGCCAGTATATTCTGACCAAAAACACTGGATCCTGCATTTTTGATAATTACATTTAAGATTGCATTTTTGTTTAACCCCCCTGTCGGATAAACCCACAGTCTTTAAGATTCTTTAAAACCTAGTTTGTAATGCAGGCTTTCTGTTCAGAATTTCCAAGCATAAGGAGAGATATACTATTGACAAAGCTCCTCCAGAGTCACAGAAGACATTATGTACTAAATAGTATGTAGTAGGCCTACACTTATATAAATAGAAAGCTTCTGTTCCAGAGCCAAGTTGTAGTGTCAGCTATAGCAACTCTTGGTAACACTTCCCAGCAGTGTCACAAGACTTAACTTTGCACCTTCAGATGGTGTTGAACCTAAAAAAAGTCACTTATTGTATTATACTTAAAAAGTACAGAATAAGTCATATTTATCAGACGCAACAACGTCCAGAGAAAGGTGATAAACCCTGACATTTCAGTACAAAGGATGATGTATTTCTGTTGGGGTCCTACACTGCAGGTGTGGTACGAGCATCAAGCATCTTCCCCATCCTCAGTGCCATACTGCTCCTCCTGGGTGGGGTGTGTGTTGCCTCAAGCGGCTTCTACAAGAGCAAAAGAAACATCATTCTCGGAGGAGGGATTCTGTTTGTAGCTGCAGGTAAGACTACAGCTTTGTCGTGGTTTTGGCAGAGAGCTCTGTTCTTTCACTTATAGTTTGGAGATAAAGTTGTCATGGGTATTCTTACTTTTAAGAGGAAATGTGGGTTAGAATTTTATTTAAACAGGAGCTCATAATGTGCTATCTGCTTTAGTATCTTAGCTCTGGTTGAAAATAGTGTCTGCTGGCTAAGCAGGACTTTTTCTTTCCAATCTTAATCCACTGGAAACTCAAATTAAACTGTGCTGTTTCAGTCATATATAGGTATAATAAGACATTCTGTCAAATGATATGCAGATTGACTTTCATATTGTCCCTGCCTCTCATCTGTATAATTGAAAGGCAACCGCTTCAGAATGCCTGCCTGGAAAACAATTTAATGAAGCTGCAGGTAAATTTGTCCCAGAGGAGCACTTACAGTAGTAGTCTTGTATTTTTCTTCAGGCCTCAGCAACATCATCGGAGTGATCGTGTACATCTCAGCAGCACTGAGCGACATCTCCCCCAAGAAAGATGAGGACAAGAAGTGGCACTACTCCTACGGCTGGTCCTTCTACTTTGGCGGCCTGTCCTTCATCCTGGCTGAGATGGTGGGTGTCCTCGCTGTCAACATCTACATTGAGAAGAACAAGGAGCTGCGCTGCCGTTCTCGCACCGACCTCTTTAAGAGCACCACGCACGCCATGCTGCGACTGCCCAGCTACCGTTTCAGACGGCGCTCTCGTTCCAGCTCACGCTCCACCGACCCGCCGCACTCACAGGAGACCTCGCCCATTGGCGCTTCCAAGACCTTCAGCCTGCCACCCTCTGCCCCACCCTTCTCTGTGGCCACTCTGCCCAACCCCCACCACACCAGCAGCGGTGGAAGCGGAGGAGGGGGCGACATCTCCATGTACACCCTGTCGAGGGACTCCAAACTGGGCAGCCTGGGAGGCGGCGCCCCACCTCTCTACGGCACAGTGGACCGCGCCACGCTGTACCAGCTCCACAACTACTTCCCAAAAGATTCCAGTGGCAGTGGTGGAGGAGGAGCAGCGGTGATAAGCAGCGGTACACTGCCATCTCACTCCAAATCCAACTTGGCAGCAGCAGCGGCTGTAGCCCAGAATTCAGCACCGCTGAATACCTCCACATCAGCCACCACACCTGCCCAGTCAGCTCCGATATCTACAGCCACAATGGAGAGGGACAGGGGCAACATGGGAACCCTGGACCGACTGACAGCCAAAAGGGACAGGGATAGCAACTCAGATACACTTAACAGGAAAACTACACCAGTTTAAATCTAAACCACACAGAGGAAAGTGAGAGGTTAAATAAAAGAGAGGTGGAACTGAGTTTAGAGAGGTTAGAGATATCTGAGTTGAAAGAGAGGCTGAAAATGTGTAGGTGACACTTAGACGGTAATGTTTCTGTCCTTGAGCCTGGGGTATCTAGCTGCCATAATTACTTACCAATATCATAAACAGTCATTAAACACCTGATGTTATGTGCAAATTCAAAAACAACTGCCTTAAAATGGTCATGATTTTATCTTCATCTTCCTTGGATTAAGTTAATTACACAGTAATGGTGCAGTGGAGGCTTTAGCAGAAGGGATTTTTTTTGTAACTTTTCATTTCAGCATCGCTCCATTTCAGATTTTGTTGTACAAAATCATACACTCACAACTGTGAGCTTTCCGGTAAAACCAGTCTCCCAGTGCAGCAGTTGGGGGTTAAGTGCCTTGCTGAGGAGGCAGCAGAGCTCAGAAGTTATTTACTCTCTTGTTTGACATTTTGTCAGCTGCAATGGGGATTTAAATTTCCACTTCACTTTAACAATAAGAACCTAATAAGCTCTGATCTTGTGATTTGTAAGAAACAAGACATCTAAGTTAAAACATTACTAAATCTGGCTTAAAAGTGAACGTTTTCACACATCTAGACATCCAGTTTAAGCTTCAGGCATCTTATCACCTGCAAACTTTCTGGTTTTCTAAACCATACAACACTTTTTAGAATCATAAATAACAAAATAAATAAGTGGCCAGATGGTATACGCCACAATTAAATTTCTGTTTAAAAAAGAACAGAGACACAGACAGGTACGGTCAGCCAAGTATCAAGCTGCTCATTGCTCAAGATGACTTTCAATTCAAGGTCAACAGTAGCTACTTAATGCCTGGTCTTAAGAAAGTAACATCAGCCACCTACCTACTGACACACACACACACACTCACCAGAGAGGCTGACACAGTGTGAGTCTATTTATTTTTCATTGTGTGTCAAAGGTAATTACAGTGACAGATGGGCATTAACTCACTCCTAGAGAAAGACACAGCCATAGACTTTAAGCTTCACCCTGTACGCCTCCATTACACCACTGCCAGTTGTCAGTAGTTAGGTTAAACACTGCAACAAATCTGACGTTTAATTCCTAGAGCCTTTGTTCAAATGTGTCAAATATTTTCAGAATTCTGGCCGAATAAAAGTAGACCGCTGTTCTTGTTTCAAGATAATTTCACTTGTTTCTTGTTCCCTAAACAAACAAGAATTTTGATATTGGGCAGTTCTTGCAGGTCTATCACTTGAGTATACTTGTGTATACGGCCACAACCTCCAAAATTTGTTGTGAAGCCAATAGCACCAATCTACATTTGTAAGCAGGTAACTTCCAATTATAGAGTTTTCTAAGGGAAAATGGTTTCAAACTCAGAAATGTCAGTAGCTAGCCATGTAATTCTTTAATTATTGGTATTGCTCAACAGTACTTGAAGCACACTGCTCATGAATTTTGGTTGTTTCATGTCATCAGACAGTAGAAATGTAAATGCATCAAGTCGATGGAAGTACTTGTAAGAACTGGACCTTTATGCACTCTATGTGATGTTTACTTGCCCACATTGATTCCAGGGTTTGTATGACTGTTTATGATGATGATTCGATACTGAAGGCTACAAGGCAGCATCCATTGAGTTCTTGCAAAGGGCTGCAACCACAGGCAACAGGGTGGGGGTCAATTCAGTTTACACTCAGGGGGTGGAGTTTTAGTTAGAACTTAGATCAAAAGCTAAAAATTTAAATCATGTGTTACTCCAATATGAGATATCAACCATTTTATCAAATCAAGTTCCACTTATTCTTAAAAAATAATACAAAATTGAAGCACATTATTTATTAAAGAAGTAAAAAAAAGATTATATTATGATGATATTAGATTTGTAAAGAACCAATCAGATTCTGAACACAGTATATTTTTGAGGGTGTTTCTGAATTGTTGTCAGTGGTAACTTGAGGGCAAAACATTTCCGTAATGGATGCGCTGCATAACATTTTTGACCAAACCCTTCACATGTCCTAAATCTGACTACTGGACTGATATACTGAACAATGAATGCACTTCTGAATCAGCTGCGTTTGCTAGTGAATTCAACACAAACTTGGCTGGAAGAGGGAAAGAGAAAATAGCACAACAGCTAGCTTCAGTTCCCCTTTCATCCATCTCTCTTTTAGATTTAACTATATACTGTTTCACAAACTAGAATAATAAATGTATTATTGAGTATATTATCGGCCCATCCACTTCAAAAAAGCACATAATGTCTGTAAATGCTAATCTTTGTGTTGTCTTTTCATTCTGAGTGATGGATCATCTCTGGGTTACATGAGACTGTGACTCCTTGAGTATTAATATCATGTTGCTGGTGTTTCTATGATCGTAATGGTTATTGCAGGGTAATTATACCTTTTGAAATCTTTACTTTTTGTAATTTTTTTTATGTTCCTTTCAACGACTTTTAAATTTTCTTTCTCTTGCTTATGTACACTAAAGTTAGTGGTGTCATGTGGAGAGCATGTGCACAAAAGTGAGAGGGTGATAATGTGTAAATTCATCTCTGAATCATCTTCATTTTCACTTAATTCATTACATTTATTTGTACAGGGAGGGGTTGACTGAGCATGCATGCTCTTTTTCAGTAACACCCTGCTTCACCTTTACCTTCACATTGGCACCCACTCAGTAAAACCAGTCATCTGCTGGTTACTGAGCTGCTTCCCTGGAACAATTGGGGGCTACGTGCCTTGATCAAGCACATTGATAGTTGTTGAGTGTAGCGTGTTTGTCAATTTATTTCCTTCATCTTGGTTGTTCCACCCATTCTAAATATATTACTGGGCCTTCTAGTCCACTTTTTTCCAAATATCACTCTAAACTTTACTGTGTACATTATTTTTACTGTAAACTATTAAATTGCACTGTTTTTCTTTTATATTTTCATTGAATTACTCGCTTCTTTTTTAAGTTGTTTCTGTTATTTTGATTTTTTTAAATGTTTATCTCTTTCCCTACTGTTATTCTTTTCTTTAATCTTCTCCTAATTCTTTTATTTCTTAATTTCTCTTTAAGTTGTCGTTTTTCCTAGTTTTTATTTCAGTTTTGGCTTTTGTTGTTTGTTGTCTCTTTTGTAATATTTGTATTTACACTGTTCTCTGCTGTCATTGTTTTGTCCTCATTTCTTTGCAGGCTATCATTTTGTGTTTTTTTTTTTCTAAACATTACCAACGTAGCCTAATAATCAGTGTTTTTTAATGTTCTGACTAGTGTGTAACTGTAGGCGATGGAATTTATATTAATCTATTTATTTTCGTGGTTGTGTATAGATATTGGTAATGTTATATTCTTTCGGAGTTCTTACACCTGTAACTTTGGGCTACAAAGGCTTTCATGCCTGCCTGTGACATATTGTCAGTAGCCTAAGTGCTGTTAGAGTGGGCTAAATGTGGTCTGTGTTGGTGTTGTCAGTGGTTTTTACATTGTAAACAAGTACAGCAAAATACATCAGCCCCATGCTTCCAAGACACGTGTATTGTTGAACACCAACATGCATCCCAAGCATTTTACCTTTTATACAGTGATTGTGAGAACATGGTCAAAAGCAGATGTTCTGTTCCTTTGTTTTCAATTTATATCCTGATGTGAAAGCCTTTTTAAAGGCGGTATAAGTCACCAGCTCCTTTTCTCAACACTTAGGCTACTGACACTAGTCAAACCTGAAACTCTTCAAATGGACTGGTATATTTCCACCCCAACCGGTACATGTAAACAACAATAAGGAAAAGGGGAAGCAATACAATATACTGATCCTCACTGGAAAAGACAAAAAATATAAGGTATATATACATATATACATAAATATATAGATATATTCAATAAAGTTCTATATGAAAATGTGGTTGTGTTGTGTGAATTATTAAGTGCAAATAAGTGTGACTCCCAAAACAGACTCACATAAATGTAATTTTACCTCTCTGGTCAACAGCTGCCTTGACTGGTTAGTTTGGGTTATAATTTTAACCCTTTAAAACACTGAAGTTAAACATAAGAATAAAAAACGCAAAAAGCAAAATTGATCTTACTCTTAAAAAAGGTCTATCTCTATAGGGATCCTTTCCACAATGTTGTCAGGCACATGTAATAACAATCTGAGCCAGATGTCAGTGGAAAAAACAAGCACTTTAGTGGACATACTTGGACAGGGCACAATTGCCTTAAGTTGCAGCCCTGTTTCGCTGCTGCCATCTGCAGTGTGCTCACTGACTACTGGAGCAACTTCACAAAATGTTGTCCAAATTAGTCATATAGATTCAAAAACATGGGATATAAAGTCAAGGTTGAAAAATACTGAAGTTACACCTTAATGTGGTGTGATGCAAAGCAAAGTTTGTCCTTTCCTTTTGTATGGGAGGCAAGTAATTTACGATAGCAGGCTACACACAATTGACCAACTCAGGAGAGGGAGGGAGTTGAAAGTTGCCCAAATGTTAACTTTATGCAGATTAATAGACATTTGCTTGGAAAAACTGTCACACCTCATCACACCACACATCGTAGGCTAGGAAGCTTAGCAAAGGTGGATAAATGTCTGTGGACAGGGAGATCATTCTTGTAGTTTCTCTGATCTCTCTTTTCTATGTTCTTGCAACCAAGATAACATCCTCACTCCACTTCTACCTCTTCTACTGACAGACAACATTAAACAACATTAAAAGCATTTGAACAAACAACCAATGCTGTTGTGGATAGATAGATAGATAGAGAGAGAGAGAGAGAGAGAGAGAGAGAAAGAATACTGTGAAAAAAAATAATCTGACCTAAAAAAGGAAACAGAACAGACCATGACAGGTAGTAATTAAGACGGTGCAGTCTCTTAATAATGCTGAGATGTCTTCTCTGGAGAAAAACACAGGGAGGGACTGTCAGCCCAGGGGAAATGTGACAGTTTTTAATCCCGCTGACAATAGATCTGCTAGCAGAGCACACAGGAGACTGAGATGTGTTTGGTTGAAGCAGCACGGAATGTGATTTGGTGTGAAAGTTTTAATTAGTTGGCCTCTCTGTCTGGAATCCTCCTGATGCTACAATGAGTCTTCATGGCTTTGTGCAGCAGGAACAGGCACAGAAGCTCTGCACCAGGTTTTCACTGTATTCCTGCATTCTTACTACATCTTTATATCTTTGCAAAGACATAAGAAATGTAATATTTCTGTGGGTTCAAATTGCACTACATTTCGTAAAAACGCCTGCTTATTGTGCTCATTGACAAGACTGAGCACTGACTATTGCCATAAAGAAATAGCATTTTGAGCCTTGATTGGTGGTTTAGGTGCATGAAACTGCATTTCTAAAATGTGATCATGTCATTAATGTGTTGATCATCAGCAATTTTTGATTGGGAAATCTATTTTGATTGGCAGGATTAGGGGATGTGGAAATGTAATCGGTATTAGTGATTCTGGCTGCGTTGTCGCCTCAGCAGTTTGGATACAGAGTCAAAGGCCTATTGATTTAAGATGAAAGCTTCCCTTCAGAGTAATCCAAGGTAATTAGTAGAAAGAGTAAGGTGGCTGAGGTGAGGCTGAACTGTTGAGAAGAGGCAAAGCAAAACAGATGTGGGCAATGATGATGATGATTTAGGCCTCACTCCATCCAAATCAGCAGCTCTAAAAGTTTTGATACAACTGGATTTACACACAGAACAGGCTTTCTGTGGACTCTTCTCACAGAAAGCCAGGTAAAGGGACATTAAATTCTCATTTATGAAATTGTGGATGTTTGTAAAGCTGTTGAACTCTTGTCAATCTGGGAACAAGGTAAATTATTACTCTTTGTGTGATGCATTTTTAAACCCTAATGTTTTAATACCTTTTTCAATTTGTGAGACATCATCTCACTTGGGAAAGAAACATTACTGAGCATGAAACAAGGACACAAACCTGGAAAAGAAGAAATATATATATATGTTTGTTGGTGTATGCACCTGGTGAGCTACTTTTGATATGAATTATTGGGCACCATCTTGGAGTTCTCGTAATCTATGGCCCACAGCCTGGACACAGAATGGATATGTGTGAATATAGAACACATAATTGCATGTTTCCCTAAGACAGACAGTTTTTCTGTTTCACTGCTGAGTGGGCAACATCCAGCATTTCATAAAAGCCCAATATACTCTAACCCTTCACAGAAGGCCAATGTTTACACTGGAGGTTTCTCCTGTGGTGCCGCTCGCTCTCCTGTATTATTATGTCTGAAGCTAGCAGCACAGTTGTCGTACATGCAGTATGATACGATAATAGCTACCGCCTTGTGTCAGCTTTCATGAGTCAACAGAAGTCTGCCACCTGTGTAGACATTCTGCATTTTAATTTCCTCTCTTCATTCAGTCTGATGCTCGCTGTCCGGCTGTCTCTCCTTCCAGTGCTCTTTGGTGCTGAAGAGCTCATGCCTGCAGTCGCTGATAACGGCTCCAGGCTTGCTGACAGACGTCCATATGCCGGTGGGGAGGTTTGTCAGTCAAGATTACACTCTCATTTCCTCTTGTCCTCAAATCCTTCTACACTCCCAGAGAGGGAGATCCCACGACAAGAATCCTGGGCTGTGTGAGCCACACTGTCTCTCATGAACACTAAAACACACATTGAGAACTTCAGAGACACATAATTAAATCTACCTTGTAAAAGGCAAACACCAACTTATAAAAACTGAAGGATAACAGGTATTTCTATACTCTATGACGTTTAAATGATGTGGATGCTATTCTCATTGATTAAAACTTTAACAACAAAATTACAAGTCTAGGTTATTTCTTCATGTTTGGAATCTGATCAAGGGTAACACCAGAATCAGTCAAGGTAAAATGCATCATAGAGGAATTTATTGTAACATTGATCAATTGCTCACAAAGATCGTCAAACACTTTCTGATTTCTGATGTTTAATAAATGACAAATATAAACAATTAATCACAGTGTTTATGAGTCAAATGTATTTATTCTCTCTTTAATTCTGTCTCTCTCTCAAGATTAAGTTAAAACATTTCTGTAAAATAAACAGTATATGTACAAGATCTTATGTTACACTTCAGCCAACACTGTTATTCAGGCCATCTGACAGTGTTCGGTACATGTACAAGCAAATCTTCAAAGTTGAATCTTCAAAGTAAACTGACTATACTGAATCCCTGTTGTTACCGACTGAATTAGTTGTTTTTAGCAGTGGAGGTCTTCACTGGTGACTGAGAGCACTGTTATCAGCTCAGCTGTGATTCACAGTAAGCTATTTCCTCGTTAAAAGCTTACTGAAATGCGGCAAAATCCCCAGAAACAATCACAATCTGATAACTGTATCAAATAAGTAGCTGTTGAGCTATTAACCTTATAAACAGTGATTGCACAGGCCTAATTTGACTGCTTAGACTAGCAACACTGAACATAATATTGAAGTGAATACAGTCTGAAACAGTGCTGCATGTTACAGTCATGCATTCACTTACCAACGTACTGAAGTGCATTTGATAGTGTGATCTTATTTCCGCCACATGAGTATTTGTAGATGAGCATTAAAAGGTGCAATACAATCTTTTTTTAGCTCATTGCTCATAGATAAATACCTTTACGATGGTTGTCTAGACGTGTGGGACATTCTGGAGAGCTTAATGTTAGAGTCTCTAATGTTAGAGTTTCACTGGTGAAACTGTAGAGAGACCAGTCAGGAATGTCCAACAAACTTCTGCCACACACTTCTGCTCTGGGGGAAGCTGCAAATATTTAAGGACTTAATATCAGTTTTCGTCAAGTACACTCTTGGAAGTGCATATTTTCTTTCTTCTTTCTTTCTTTCTTTTGGATTGGATGACGTTGAAAGTGAATGACTTTTGGGGGTGCGGCATCGTAAAGCTCTGGCACCAAACACATTGATTTGTGAAGTATACAAGCAACATGAGACAGGCTTCAGAGCTCCAAAGAGATTGTCTATCTTCCATCATCCAAACCATCTGTGCTCAAGTTGCAGGTGGATCATTCAGGAAAAAAAAACTGTATGATTATTACACATGACAAGGGAGCTTTGTGACAGCGTCTGCATATTTCTTAGAATATTTCTTTTAACTGTGACCATCCAAAAAACATCGCTGATACTGGTTCAATAACAAGACTTGTTGATGTCCATTGCCACTGTTTTTAATAAATAAAATTTCTGCACATGGCAACTATGGTAAGGTTAAAGAAAGACTTTGCTTATGGCAAATAGCAATAGTGAAGATATGGCCATTGGACATTGGTATTGGACCTATATAGTGTGTTGTAGATTTGTCCAAATGTAAACAAAGTCTACGTGGCCACTGGGCTTGGTATTTGCTGTCAACTGGTCAAGATGAGAAAAACTTTTATCCCATCAGTCATCAAGTTACTTAACAGGACTCACTGTTGGTTTATATGGCTTATATTTTATTGTTGTATTAGATGACAATGCGCCATGACTGCTGTTACTATTTTTGTGTTTTATTTGTCTCCCTGTTGTGTTTATCCTTTTTATCTGCTACAGATACATTAGAAAATTATCAAAACCTTACACTTTCTTATGTAATGTTTAATCTGCTCCCATTGTGGAAATTAGGCTAAATCATCAGAGTATGTTATCACTCTCTGACCCTGTGGTTTTGTCTGTCACACACTAATTTTGCACTATTATTCCAAATATGATAATATTCCAAGTTTATTATGGGTCATGAAAACAGCATATTTATTTGGATATTCTGAATTACACCTAATGCCGAGTGTTGCATTTTCCGATTAAGACATGTGGGATATGCTGATATTAATTGGGTTTTAGGAGCATTCTTTGAAAAAAAAAAAACAGACAGCGAATTCAGAAAAGGCATCTCGATCATCTTGACTGTTTAGCTCTGCGTGTAGACAAACCAACTAGAAACAGTGGGGCAGAATTGCATGCACATTTTAATACACCTGCTTTAAACAGGTGTATTTTTTTTGACTTGGATATCAATGGGTTTTTGGATATGTGTAAATAGCCATAGGATGTACATCATTATGTTAATAGCAGTTTGCACAGCTGCATGTAAACAGGAATATTAGTGGAATATCAGAATCAGAAAGATTTATTGCCACATAGTATTTTACACATACGAGGAATTCGCTATGGTGATTAGGTGACATGGACTGTATGTTTATACAGTTGACGCATTCATTTTCTTTAGTCATGTAAATAGTTTAGTAGGAATATTGTCTTTTTCATTATCAAATTTAATCATGTGGCGATAAAAAATCAGGAATTGAAACTCCGGGAGAACAGAGAGGCAAGGGGCGAACAGTCAGATAATTTATATCACCTTTATGTCTAGGACAAAAAAATCACACCAAAAACTATTACTACAGATCATGAGCTGGCTGCAGAGCTCCATGGCACGTGTTGTCTGAACAGGGGGAGGAGGAGAGGCAGGGTTTGTAGCACACTTTGTTGACTAAAAAGAAAAGTTGTAGCTTTAACAACGTATGATCTGTGCTTACTTCACATTATGACTTCCCATATTCACTTGAGGAGGATAATTTGATTCTCAGGGGTGCAGTAAAGTGGATTGGATGATGCTGGGAATGTATGAGGTCAGGGGTTCAGTTTTGAGCAGGTTCAGATTGTTCTCACGCTGTGAACACTTAAGTGTGTGTCATTATATTGTGCATTCCTACACTCACAGGGCAGAGATCCTACTGCACACGTGTATTTGAACAAGTGAATCTGAGAGTGTGTTTTGTGCACAGCTTGTCTCCAGGTTTGTGTTTCTCCTGCCACGTCAGTCCTATTAGCCACGGTCTATATTTAGCCAGGAGGTCGCAGCCAAACAGCATGGGAGGTGCTTCAGAGAGACGTGAGCTTGGAAGGAGGTCAGCATGGTGACTGAGATGTGCTGTGAGCAAGATAACAAGAACCAAACCAGCGGTAATGTTTAACGGAGGGAGAGGGGGTCGAAGAGGAGCAGAAACTACTAATCAGAGCAGTCCGAACACAATGCATGAAATTACAGACACCTGAAAGCATTCTTATCACTCCTGGCAACTCTTTTCTATTCACCTCAGTGATCTTAAGTGTCATAAGACAATCCCAAAGGTTGTCAACAACACTCCAAATGGTTGATTGATTTGAAAGTAATATTGCAGAATGATTCAACTCTGCATTTAATGTGATGATATAACTAAATGTCTGTATCTACTTTTTATGACGCCTTCAGATGCTGTTGGAAATATCAGAATTATGAATTGAGAGGACATGACTCATAAAGAAGAAGGTAAAAGGGCCATGCTGGTGGTCTGGCAGTCTAAGAATGTTCTGTATCATATAACAGCATGTAACATGCAACTGCAACTTTCTGAGTTCATATTTAGCAGGGACCTTTGTCATAGCACACTTTCCCACCGTCTCTTTCCCTGTCTTCTGCTGATTTTCACAGTTTACTGTCTTATAAGGGTGAAAATGGCATAACTCTAATTTCCAAAAGAAGGTTGAGTTAAAGTAAGTGGAATTTACTATGATCATGAAGCAGCAGAGATGACTAGAGTATAACAAAAGACAAAGACCATGAAGTTGTAAACATTGGATGTGCTCCAAAACCTGAACTTCACAATGCCAATTTAGCCAGCTGGGCGTCATTTCCATTCCATTTCAGTTTTGCAGCACTGTGCTACATGTACATAAATAAAATACCACGTGTACCAACAGCATCTCTAAAGATAACTAACTATAGCCTACTTTAAACACAAACAAATGGCTCTTTGTGGCAAAATCCAAATGGAAATGTACCATACTGTTACTGCCAAACCTTAAAATAAAGAAATATATATATACAGTATGTAATTACAAATTACCCCAACATGTCTACTCCTGTTCCTTATCAGCTGATAACGATGCAACATCATGCCACTCACATGCCACCTGTACTACATTTAATCAGGTTTCTCTGCCCGTGCTGCTAAATAAAAATCAGCACATTATGTTGCGTGGGCTGACTCCCATCGGACAGTTTCGATGATGGTTATTGGCTTTGGTAATCTGTACAGCAAAGAGTTTACGAAGAATGGTTATGTTTGGTTTCAGAAGTTTAGGACTATTTCACTGGCAGAGATTTGTGGATATTTGAAAAATACATCATAGGTAAACTATTGTAAATTATGATTATTGATTATTATTTTTCTGACTAGTGGTATTTTATTATACCTTCTTTAACATATGTAACAAGTTTTGATCATTTAAACGGATGAAATTCCAGCAAAAACCCAAAAAGGACTTCAATGACCCAAAAGAACATATATAAACGTTAAAAGTACAATGACATTTATGACATTTATTTATCAAAAGTACGTGATGTCACTCACATGACATGGCTAACATTGTGAAATGGTTGTAGTTTGTTTCATGAAACAAAGCTAGGTGGAATTATGCTTTTTGGCCTTTTCCCTCTCCTTTATTTAGTTATACACCTTTTTTGTGCATATAATAGGTTTGCAAAGCGAAAAAGCCCAAAGTCCAGCCCAAATGGTGTTTTTTGAAAATGAAACTTATGTGAACCTGTTCTGGTACAACCCATAAATGGGATAATACCACCTCAAAGATTGTAGTTTGTGCCTCATGCTCATGAATTAAAGTCCTCAGTTTATTTAACCAGTCTATCTCCTTATGATGACTTTGTCGCTCTATACTACTTCACTTGATTTCCCTATTTGCTACCGTCATACACTCAGAGGATGTGGCATAACAATAAACAGAAATATGTGTCGTAAAAAGCTGCGGTCTAATCGACCTAAACAGCCTTTTTTTCTGGGGACAGCTATTTTATCATGAGTTGTAAAGTGGGACGGTTTATAAAACCAGCTATTGAGGAGGCAGTGACTGTAAGCTGTGAATGTGTTGAGAGAGAAATGAAACCTAAGAGGAAGACATTAAATATTCATGTCATGTTTAATAATAAAATGAAGTCATTCATACTCAGTCGGCTCAGTTCAAAAAACTTGCAGAGACGGTTCACCTTCCATTCAGGCACACAAAAGAACTTTGTTCTAACATAAATCTTCCAAGAAAAACACTGAGGAAAAGAAACAGTAGCATCTCACAGCTTAAGCTGATTTTACACTGTCTAGCTTCTACTCCACTTAATATCTTTACAATGTTTTCTAATTGCATCTACAAACTACCCAAATTACACTTTATATTTTTAAATATTACCTATACTGTATACTGTCACCTACATAATGTATGACCAGACACACGTAATAAATATAGCGTGAAATTAATGAAATTAGACAATCTGAAATATTTGAATTCATTTGTACCACTACAAAATTAAAACACTGTCACATGAATATTCAGGTAATGTATATCTAATTAATGTCTATCTTATTGTTAATTGATGAACAACAAAACATCCAACTTAGACAGTAGAAAGGCGGCTCTTCAGATAGGAAGGCATTTGAGGACAAACAAAATATTGCTTTTTTCACACATCACTGAGAAACAAAACAAGTTTTCTTAAACGAGGTTCTCAAATTGGAGGTCAACATTCTGTTACGTTCATTCAGAGTAGATCTTTTTTGAAAGGTGTTGATGGTCATCTTGTTACCTGAGCAGACAGATGGCTGTGATCCAAGAAGATGAAGGTAATTCAATCCCAGCTACAGTAAATGATCTACAGTGACTACAGCATTTAAGTTCATTTTGTTTTAAAGTTATTTTTTGTGCACACTCCAAATAATGTGATTAAGATGCTGTCCATTTGTGGGCATGAACTTTCCCAGAATAGACACAAAAAAATGTGTCATCTGAAAATTTTATCTTTGAATAGTTCTTTAACTTGGGGATTCAGTCAACTGTAGGCCTACTGTTTGCACCTTGAGCCCACAGACAATCAATGGAAATAAACATTAATTAGTTAATGGTTTGAATTACCAGCATTAATAATTAATGTACTCTTTAAATAAGGGTGGATAAATTAACAAGCCAACATTTATCAATATGTCATCTTCGCATTCATGTTAGCCATATGTGAACATATGTTAACTAGCCCTCCTGCAAATGAGTAACATTTAAACCGTTTGCTTAAATCACTTCTTTTACCTGCCATACTGTCTAAAACTGTGTTTTTGTTAAGTATTGTTTGTTTCATATTTTTTTAATTTGGCTCATTAATTTATTGAATGACCCAACAGAAAATTGTACTAGTCTCCAAACCCTGCAGGATGATTAGTAAGACAATATATGACTGTTTTCCAAACACATCTGAGCATTAAGATCACCATATTTGACACTAAAAGGGACATTTCACTGTAACATGGCATTGCAGATTTAGCACATAACTGTGAACAGGATAAACTTCAACAATATTAAATCAATAAGTTAATAAGTTATAACTTATCAACTGTCAGAGATCCAGAATGGCATGCTAGGAAACAATGAAAAAAAAAAATTCCATACTTAACAAGACTCTTGTAATGGCAAGATAGACAGGTAGTTTTCTGTATATGGGACATGTCAGTGAATCTTTCATCACCCTCCCATAATCTCAATGCTAAGATGTCTTTGGGAAACATCTGCACCCCTCTCTCCTCACAAACAGAAAGGGCAGATAAAGTGCAACACCACCTCTGGGCCACTAGCTGCTGCTGTCCTTTTGAGGGAGACACCTCTGCCATGGGCTGTAGGGCAACGCCAGTAGTAGGAAGAGGATCCCGCCCATGATGAGGACAGCCCCTGCACAGCCAATGCACGTCACTGACCAGGAGAGCTCGTGGTGGAGAGGAACCGTGTGGTCGCTGGCCAGTAAGGCCAGGACAGACTGGTGGAAAACCATCAGAGAAAGAAGCACCATGACACCTGTGGAGGAGAGAGTGGTCAGTGACACAATAACAATGTTATACATTACCACATGAATTTAGAGACATTGTTGTAATATTTTTAAACACAACCTCCATTATACTATAAAAGTTACCCGGTGTGTTGTTGCCTTTACTGACATTTTGCCTGATGAAAGACTAGTACAAAACGTTACACATCAGAGATGCTCACAAGTCTTGTGAGAGCTAGAGTCCAAGTCAAGTGTCAAGTCACTCGTGGTTATAATGAATGTTGTATCACCTGCTGCGTTCAATCCAGGCTGCTTATAAAACTGCATAGCTATAAGGAATTCTGTAACTGAAAACTGGTTTTCACTTACATGCAAAACCATGTAATGTGCAATGCGTCTACAACTAGTGACAGCTTATTTACTACTGTAAGTCAACACACCCCGCAGACTCTCAAACCAGCGTAACGTTATAACTAAATATAACTGTAACGTTACATAATCAACAATAAACCCTTTAACCTGTTTTTCACAGAGCACAACCATGTAATGTGCAACTACTGTAAGTCAACACACCCCGGAGACTCTCAAACCAGCGTAACGTTATAACTAAATAAAACTGTAATGCTACATAATCAAAAACAAACCTGTAACCTGTTTTTTACAGAGCACAACCATGTAATGTGCAACTACTGTAAGTCAACACACCCTGCAGACTCTCAAACCAGCGTAACGTTATAACTAAATAAAACTGTAATGTTACATAATCAAAAATAAACCTGTAACCTGTTTTTTACAGAGCACAACCATGTAATGTGCAACTACTGTAAGTCAACACACCCTGCAGACTCTCAAACCAGCGTAACGTTATAACTAAATAAAACTGTAATGTTACATAATCAAAAATAAACCTGTAACCTGTTTTTTACAGAGCACAACCATGTAATGTGCTACTACTGTAAGTGAAAAACACTCCCTGTAGACTCTCAAACCAGCGTAATGTTATAACTAAATAAAACTGTAACGTTACATAATCAAAAATAAACCTGTAACCTGCTTGCAGCCAACGCTAATAATTAACGCAATGGCAGCCAGCGGGATGTAAATGATTATGTTAATCGACCACTACAAGTTTAGCAAGCAAACAAACACTCATTCTTATTTTCATAACAAACGACAGTCAGACCTAACCTCCGGAAGGTCGTAGCTAAAGCAAGAAGCAAGCTAACTTTAGATGGCCAATGCTGAGCTAAACATGTTTACTAACCTCAGCTACAAACCTATTTTGCATTCAGCGCTTCTACTGTTTGGGCCTTGTTGTATGAAGTTTTAAAGCCTAAGTTTAGGATGAATAGCACAGTAGCTGCCGGTGTTTGTTGTCCTCTCTCACGTGTGGCCACGTGCAGCAGATACTACATGTTATGTAGGCAGGTTATAGGTAATGGAGGGAGGGTACAACAGCAAGCTCATATGACGTTTCCTAAAAATAAAAATTGTTCATGAGTCCCGAAACTCTAGTCCGAGTCAAGTCTAAAGTTTTTCTGAAGTCGCTGTGTGTGCGACTTGAGTCTGAGTCTCAAACTCGAGTCCCCATCTCTGTTACACATAAATGTAGAATTGCATCTTAGACAGTGTGCAGGAGTTTGTTTTAAATTTTTGAGACACTACTGACCTGACAGAAAAAAGCAGACGGACGCTGGCTTGAGGAAGAATATGATCTCTTTACTGAGAGACATGATAATGCATATTGCCCCCATCACCATCAGGAACAGGCTGAACAGGGTCAACATGGCTGCCGCTACATTCAGATCTGCAAAAGGAAGGAGGACAGTGTTGTTATCATAAACTCTATGAAATTCCCTATATAGGAACACTTGCTTTGGGAACTGGACTGATAAGGTAAATCAAGGGTCTTTTAGGTACATATTTAGATTTTTAACTGTGACAGGTCATCACCATTTTATTTCATTGTTGTATTATACAGAACACATTACTATTTACAGTAGTTTCTAGAACACCTCACATTTATCAAAACTTTTGAAAATCTGTTAACTAACATTCCTAGTACATGACTTTGTGATGTGAACAATGTAGATTTACAGTTAACTTCACAGTTATCGAGGTGGAGATTTAACAAAATGTAGCTGTAAAATCCTCTCTCAAAGTATTAAAAACACAAAATGCACCGATGAGCCTGTATACTTGTGTATATACAGTAACTTAAACTGGACTTTGTGGATTGTATTTCATTTTCTCATGCCATATCTGTGTATCTACAGAGAGAAGAGCATTATAGATAAACTATACGTCATGGAGGCACACAGCTGATGCACAAACCTCCCAAATCTCAGCAACCACCGTGTTTTACCCAAGGAACCAAACAAGCTGAATTGGTCATCCAACTCCCTGTCAGGAGATTGGTTTGAAATGGAACCAAGAGTAAGCCACAGTTGGAATAGTGAAGCTGACCAAAGCCTGCATGGACGGTTCCATGCAGGCCCAAAAATTAGGTCAAAACCCTGTGACATCCCGTCGCACATGAGAGATGTAACCGTATTGCTTAGATTAGCCCTGTACTAGTATTTTATTGGTCCAAAACTGGCCTCACTGCTCTCCATTCAAATCAGCAGGATGGCTTCGTCCAGTAATATACTGTGTATGAATGGAACTGGACCCAGTAAAATGATACCTAAAATGTGTATATTATAAAAGAAAATAGGCAACATGAAAAACCCCCATGCATGTTTGGCCCCTTGGATCAGCTAGAAAATGCATGGCCAAGTTTTTCTAAGTGAGTATTAATCCAGAAACATCATAAAACAGAAAAACACTGACAGGGACCATTTTACTACACAGTGAGTACTTTTACTTTTGATAATGTAAATGTTACTGATAATACTATATAATTATGTTTTTACTTAAAAGTTCAATGTGAAATATTCCTGAGGATCTATTGACAGAAATGCAATATAATATCCATAACTATGTGTTCAGTTGTGTATAAAGACCTCACATAATGAGCCATTCTGTTTTTATTACCTTAGAATGAGCCATTTACATCTACATAACCACGGGCATCCCCTGCTGTGGAAGTTGATATATTTTGTGATATAGTGATATAGTGTTTGTACTATAGCCGACAACGAACAAACAGCGCTACAGAGCGCGTTTCGTTATCACAGCGTTCTTCTTCTGCTTGTATAATTCCGTCAGTGTGGACGCCCGTTACTACATTAAATACATACATAGAAGAAGAAGAGGGAATAATAATAATATACAGTCTCTGAGTAATCTTCTGGTTTATTAGAAGTAAGAAGAGAAGTGACATTTGGACAAATTAACGAGCACACACATGTTATTTAGCACAAGAGCTGACAGCCTGTGGATCTTTATACCATGAAGCCAGAGGAGTCCGGACAGATACAAACTGTTGACGGCAGAAATCACGAATGTTGTGGATTTTCCCAGATTGAAGGCTATAATGTGGGACAGATGTTTTGTCGCCTACTTCTTCTCCAGCGCTGTGATTTTGCTCTGTTACCGAGACAATCAGCTCATCAGTAATGTTAATTGGCAATAAAACCGTAACGTTAGCTTAGAGCATGGAAGCATCAGCCAGCTAAACTTTTACTGTGCAGGTAGAAAAAATATGTAGTTGGATTGTAACTTCATATAGTTCTTCTCCAGCGCTCTGTTATGGCTTTTGTTACGTGGACAGAAATGTGATGTTACCTTCCTGAGACAAACAGATGATGAATATTATTGGTAATGAAACGGTAACAGCAGGGAAGCTCAGATCAGCAGCTAAACTTCACATTTTACTGCCCTGGTGGAAAACATGTTTTTACTGCTAATGGTGATATATAACAAGACCATGTGCCTATCAAATGACCAATAATGAATACTTTCCGAATTTGCATTAAAAAAAACTTGTTTTTTTTGCATATTGCTTCCCCACTGTGCACACATGTGTAATTTGTACTTTCAAATGTTAAATGGCCATTAAAAACATTGCACCGTTTTACCACAAGCTGAAATTATGGCTGTCAGTACTACTTTGTATTTCTGTTGTATTTTTAAAAATTAAAAAAGACATTTGGGTAAGATTTGCATGCTTATCTAATTAAGCAAAGTGAGAGGAGCCTTGATCCTCACCAGCTAATGCTTAATTTCATGTATTATGTGATTTATAATGGACTGTGGTGCAGAAACAGTGAGGCTTACATTGTCCTGTTATCTGTCAGCGGTCATACTTGAAGCACTAGATGTGATTTTGAGATGTTCTTCATTTACTCCCAAGTTGTAAAATACTGTATTACAGGAGTATGAGACATCATGTAGCACTTCATTTCTTGATGTGGTTGTTGCTTATTAATGGAAAGTTATAATAATATTTAAAAAAAACATATGGTTTTATTGAATAATTAAGTAAATATAATTTTTAATATATCTATCTAAAGAAACCTGATTTCTTGACTGGCAACTCTCATCTATCTCAAAGATGACATCTTTGTCCTACCTCAGGCACCGTAGCTATACTACTCACTTGGATAGGGGAGGGGGGGGGTGCAATTCGCAATCCTCACCACTAGATGTCACTAAAACTTACACACTGAACCTTTAAGTGAAGTTTTAAATAGGCTACATGACTTTTACTTTTAGGGGTAGTAGGTTATTTTCACAGTGTGGCATTAGTACTTTACTTACAAGCGAAGATAACTTAAAACTAGGGTAGTTTTAATTTATTTCAGAAGCATTTTTTGTTGTATTTGTTGAATGGATGTCTCTTTACATCCAGACAACAATCAATAAGTCAAATGCTCTGACACAAAAATCACAGGACTTATCATTTCATTCAGTCCTAATAGTATGTTAGAGGATTTAGGTAAGTTTTTTCACTTTATAATTCCACCTAATAATCGTTTTAATCATTTAAAAAATCACAACAAACTATTTTAGTACACTGTTTTATACACTCATGGTTGTAGTTATTAAATCACTATATTCAGGCCTATAGTGTGACAGTGATGTGGCACCAGTGATCAGAGATTTTATGTATATCTGTCTTACTTCATTCAGTGTATTGGCACTGTGTGATCTTAATACATTATGGAGCTGCCTGTGAAATGAGAGGTTAGACAGCAGCTTGGAGACACTTGAACGCAGTGTAGGCGGAATAGATTTCAAACACTCACAGAGCAGACAATGGCCAACCTGAAAGAGTGCAGCGAGGAGGTGAAGGGAGACAAAAAGAAAAGGAAAGGACAGAGAAAGAGAGTGATGATCGTGGGAGAGTTGACAGACAGAGGACTGAAAAGTAAAGAAAGGGCAGAAAAAGAGAAAGATGAAGGGGCAAAGAGGTCACAAGGAAAGAGAGAGGCAGCAAAAGGGAGAGGGAGAAGAAAAAAAGGAATAAAGAACAAAGAAAGGAGGAAGTGGGCGGATAAGATGGGAAAGCGGTTGAGTGAGGCAAAGAGAGCCAAAAGAGGTGTGTGACTCACTCTTTCGCGTTGTCTTCTGAAACATCACAGTATTTTCCCCTGTGGTGAAAAACTTGAAGTAGGTGCAGTTTGATTCTGCAGGAGGAAAAACATGGAGGAAGAGAAACAGCTACTGTAAATGAGAGAAACATAAACATTGAGAGGTAATCTCCTGCTGCTGCAGACATTCTTGATGGACACTTTAATCACAATTCAAAGAGCTACAGCTTTATCAGCCCTCTCCATCAAACATAATCAGCTGTGAACGTCAATGACAAGCTCAAGGTTACAATCCAATGCTTCCTGCACAATTAGTATTCTGCCTTCCTAATGATGTGTTACAGTAATTAGAGTTTGGCCGTCAAATAGAAAGTGACACCTCTATCTGTTCCCTTGCACATTTGTGCACACAAGCAAGCAAAACACGCACCCACATCACTCTTAATTAGTCTGATCAAAGCCAAATCCTCAGAGTGTTCTGGGTAGTTTTCCCCACAAAAGTGCAGCACTGCTGCTGCAGAAGAGCTGCACTCAAATCCCATTGACACAATTCAAATACCACCAACAAATAAGGGGTCTCTGCAGTCGGACAATGAGACAATCATTTAACTTTACTCTCACTGACCTCACAACATGTGTACACCTTAATCCAATAAGGAAGAGGTGTTCTGTTAGGGATGACTGGCTCACAAACAAACAATATGTAATAACAATATGTAACACTTAAACTGGGTAGTCTGAGGATGTGTCACTTCATAGAACAATGTAACTTAAATGATTTATCCTTACACACTGGTCAGTAAAGTCACCACCATGTTGTGGTGCAATACATGTCCAGTGACTATGTATATGTAGATTATGCCAAACTAGGCCATTTGTATATCTCATATGTCTAACAACATTGGCATTTGAAATCTGTTTTTAACTTTGGAGTCTTTGCTTTTGAAAAATTACCCCTCACGTCACAGAATGCGTAAAGCTACCTTGAAGATTTGTCAATTAGCACAAATAGCCAGTGGGCAATGTTTGTTTGTTTTTTTGCTGAATTTACATATACTACTGCGTGTCAAAAAAAGACTAGAGATTAAAAAAAAAATACAACATCCTTCTGTGATAATTAAGCCTTAAGCTCATTGGTGCTTATAGACTTTTTATTAGTGCAATTAGATAGTTGGCCAATGGGAGACTTAACTTACAATAATAATAATAAGGACACTATGCCTTTTTGCAAAAACAACAGAGGCAGTTAACTGCAGTATGGTCAGCAAAGTAAATGAAAATCATCTACTGTGTGTCACACTCTTTAGATGTGGCAAATTCCCATGGTATATTGCAACCCCACTATGCCAGTAACCATGTGAAACTCCCTCACTTGTTTTGATAAAATTCAAACAAATATCCTGTCTGAAACCCAGGACGAGCACATACAGAGCTCCTGGTGGACTTCGTCTGTCTTTATGTGAGTCATTCTTTAAAAGGGGAGCTCATACAGGTGAGTCATGGAAAAGGGGAGAGATAGTTCAAATAGCTTTAATGATCTTTTGCCACACACAACAAAAAAAAAATTCCAATGCTAGATGTCTGAAAAGAATTTTCAACACACTGCATTAGCTTTTCTTGCATCTGTAAAAAGAAACTTATAAAAACTTCAGCTAGACTTTAACAACCTGCAACTGCTATATGATGGTGTACAGCCTGAGCATTGAAAATGCTCTTACTTTATTTTATTTCCCATATTTTAAGATTCTTAATTTCACATCATATCCATTAATTTCATATCACATTCATAGTTATTTATAGTTACAGTTATTCATTATTACTTTTTTCTAGTGTATTTTTTTCCTCTTTAAATTTATTTATTTATTTAAATATTGCTTTGTCTGTCTGTTTTAGTAAACTAATTGTTGAGGCCGATAATACTTGGTTCATTCTCACTTGCATATGTGGTTTCTGATCTCAATTTACTGATGAAATACAATTCAAACAAATGTATAAATATAGCATTTGACATTTTCAGAGGAGAAGAACAGATGCAGACGACTTGAGAGACTAAATTGATGAAAGAGTTTGGACTTTGATATAATTGCAGAAACGCAAACTTGATTTTTACAGCGTCACTTTGAGATCAGAGAGAGTCATTATATGCACCTGACTACTGGGTGAAATGTTCAACCCACTTGCGACATTTTTATGTTTCCAATATTTAAGGTTTAAGCTGCATAAACACTTTTAATCAAAGAAAAATAAGAATAAAGTGTCACAGGAACCTTAGACTTACTATGATCTGAACAACCCCATTGTGGTCAAGTCTGATTCAGTCACCTGGGGATTTGAATCCTGGAACATCAGATCTCCAGAGTAGGTGACTTACTGACTGAGCCACTGGTGAGAGGCTGTTTCTGTCCACCTTCTCAGTTTCACAGTTTTGTTAGTTTAAACCTGAAAAGGCTTACTACAGTTAAGATGTTGGTGAGGCAATTCTGCAAAAATCATTCTGCTGGTTTTGGGTGTGTTGTTAATTATTTTGGTGCCATTGGATCCAACACTGAGAAAAAGGAAAATGTTGTGCATACTGTACAAGTTACAGCAAGATACTGAAGATCAATGCAGATTCACCGTTTGACCAATCTAAATACCCTTTGCAACACTTGATGTCAGCCATCTAGAGAATGTCTGTGTTGATTTTGGTAGCGTTTGAAGAAAGACTTGTAGAGATATACCCTATATTTATGAAAAATATAGGGTGACTGACTTCTGCATTGACTATACGTTGCAGTGAGGCAAACGTTTGTCACATATCTGTGGTTGTGCTGAAAAAATATCAGCTCTCTAGGACATACGGGTGATTTTCTTAGATTTTTTGAAGTTTGGAATGTGAAATGTCTAAAAATAGGTATTAGAGAAAAGTGATAAAAAGTCGACATTTTGACATTTTTAGAGTAGAAGACCATTGAAGCAAAGATGCAGATTAATTCAGAGATTAAAATGAAAGAACTTTGACTCTAAACTAAGCTGTTTTTGAGATAATTGCCAAAACGTGAAGTTCATTGTTATAGCGCCACCATGAGGTATATGAGTGCCATTTTTTTGACCAGGACAAAACGTGGATAACTCTGATCACAAATTTAATTGGACAACCAAAACAGAACATCTGGTATTGTTACCCAAGAGCTGAGGACTTCATCCAAATGATCCCTTGAAACCAACTTGTGGACTCACTCTTTCACTATGTAACAATAATTCAGGCAGTTAGTCAGCCAGCCATAAAAGCATCATTTGTTTACCAGAAAGTCAGGTAGACCACTCATTCATGTTGTCTCACAACAAGCTCAACAGTTTGACAAACGTCCAGTCAGCCAGCTTGTCTGTCAATCATCAGCTTAAAACTCCCTCCCTCACACAGACCAGTTAGCCATCATAAAATTTAGACAGCCAGGCATACAAGCAGTCAAGAGTCACCTCCTGGTAGATCAGCAGGTCCACAGCTCTCTCTCTCTGGGTCGATATCAGCCACCCACAACGACTTGGTGCAGCCTTTCCACAGGCCGTAGTGAGCTGTCAGACATGTCTGCAAAACGAAGATCCGCAGCAATATAATTTTTCTTAGTTGTGGTTTTTGTCTCCATGTTTTTGATACTGCAAAAAACATCCCTAGACGGGATAACAATATCTAAGACACCCTGAATGTTTCTGTATATCAGTGAAAACAGCCCCATATGAACTAAGTCAGAATTTATTGCTAATTCCCATTCCAATATTTCACCTGGTTGTTATAGAAACTCTTGGGAGGTGACAGCTCCACCCAGAACTCTGTCCCCACCCCAAGGATTGTCAGGACTACGCCCACAATGGCCACGAAGAATGCCAACTTGATCTGGTGACAGAACAAAATGCAAAAACATTTCAATCTCAAAGAGTTAAAAAATATTTTAAAAGTTTGCAATTCTGAATTTGAGAGTTAGTAAAAACTCTATTACTTCTATCAGCAACCTGTATTTACCTGTATTCCAGCCCTTTATTGTGTAGGCCCAGTTACAATGTCCTCACCTACTGACTCAGTTTAGCCTTAGCCTTGTCGACTTTATCCTTATGTAATGCAGTAGAGCTTGCCATATATCCAGCTCATGTGCTGTCTCATGTATCTTGCATTAGTGCACTCGGCTAACAAGTTAGCTATGACGCTAAAAAAGCTTCTATATCTGTGTGATACATCTACTTTTTTTGTTCCTGTCTTGACAATAAATGACAGCAAAGAAATAGACCAAGCAAACACAGAGTCAAGGTGGTGCTTACTGTAAAAAGTTTCAGAGCTCAGTTAAGTGGAAAAGTGCTGAAGCGCTTTCCAGGCATACTCTGTAAGTCTGCAATTCTTTCAAGACTTTCTTATCTACAAATCCTAGAGTGCTATGTATTGTATTGTCAGGAGAAATCTGAAATTACAAAAACAAATAATGAAGAAATTTAATAAGCTGGATTACATGAACATATTAGTGGGCTAAGCACCGAGTCTAGTATTTTATTATGAATGTGTGATCATGTTCCGCAAAAACGCCTCTGTCCAAGTTAAGTTGAGGACATTTCATGTCTATTTCCTCATTCAGCATTTAACACCCCTGCAACCTCTTTTTCACAGGCAGCTACAATGGTCATGCTCATGACATAATTTAATGTCTGTGAGAGTTCAGTGCATAGAGGATGGACATAAGAACTGGGCCACAATGTGCTGTGATATACACTGTCTGAAAGAAAACAAGGGAGCTAGGTAATTAAGATAAGCTGTGAGAAGATATTCTACAGTAATATGCAGTGAGGAAGTACTAATACCACAGGGAAAGAACAATCTCGGCGTGTTGTTTTTAATGTCTTCAACAGATGAAATATCAACCCTCTACGGAGCAGTTAAGATGTGTGGGTGGACTCTTGTACTTCAACCTTTGAGTGGATTGAGGATGTTTTTTGAATGTGAGGACATTTTGTCTGGTCTTGAGTTCTTCAAATGACTGTTAGAGAGACTTGTTTTGTTTTGTAGATAAGAATTATGTTTAGAGTTGGGGGATAGGGGAAGAATCATGTCATGCTGGCCCTCTAAACCATTTATGTACATGTAGACATGTCAGAGTGGTCAAGTGGTGAAATTAAAAGCCTGAAATCTCAGCTGGCTAACTAATATTTGAGCATTTATATCCCTACTGAACACCTGCAGAGCACTCTTGTGGTTCTTATGATTATGTAACATTTTATGTCCTTAGTCAAAGAACTGCCTTTGATCTTATGCAAATACTTATTTTCTAACATTAGAAGTCCTTTATCATGTTCTAGTGGAGTGTTTTTTGCCCTGTGGACCAGCCTGATTTCACTTGAAAAGAGTGCAGTATGATTGATTTGTTCCATTAACTCCTACTTTCACACAGCCTGAGGGAGAACACACAGTCACACAATATGAAATTCGTCACCTTTCCTTCCTGTGCCTCACTCATGGTGTGTCCTGTTGACGTCTTCTTGCGGCGCTTGTTCCCCCCAAATGTACTGCGCCCAGTCATCAGGTTGGTCAGACCTCCTGCACCTGGTGCTGCTCCTCCCAGTGCTCCCCCTACCGTTCCTGCCGCCGCCGGACCCACAGTGCGGCCCTCCTCATCGGTCACCAAAAAGGTAGACCACATGTTGTGACAAAGTAACAATAACAATTGGGACAGCCGAGTGGGATTTAGTTTGGCAGCGAAGCTTGCTTTGAGTTTTGCCCTCGATGGAGATGGTATAAATTTAGCACAAAAAAAACAAAACAGAAAACTGTTTGTATTCTCAGTTTGTGCCCGTAAAGATACAAATGTATCGACAGAAAGGACTTGGAAGCAGAGGAAGACAGAGGTAGAAAGATAAACTGAAAAAAGAAATCAACTGTGGTCAGAACTAACAAAAAAGTGTGATAGATAAGTAGAAGAAAACGTTTAAACCTAAAAAGTCTCCTTGGCAGTGGAAACAATTTCTCTGAAAACTTTAGCAGGAAAAGTCAGGAATCAGTGTTTTCTTGCGAAAAAGCCTAAGAAAAAATGGTGGCTTTGAGGATGGATGCAAAACTGATAAATGAATCATCATGAAAAAAAGAAAATGACCGAAAATATGTGTAGAAAATCGTAGCCACTAATAGTTTGAAGAGGTAGAAGTCAGGAGTGGATGAAGTGATGTTTCCTAGAGATGAAATTGGAAGGAGAAAAGAAAGGAGAAGAAAGTAAAAGTGACTAGGTGAGGCATTTGGATACATGATCACTTAAAGCACAGAGCTTCCAGCCTTTTGCACAAATTCACAAAGTGTCACCCACTGTTTATAAAAAAAATAGAAATGTATAGATGGAGGAATGACGCGGGCGTAGAAATTTCTACATTTCATGGTACGGAAATAAACCAAGAAAGAGAACATGAAAACTGGTTAATAAAATATATGCAGTATTGTTGCTAGCAGTATGAGAACTGTGCTCTTACAAGAATCACATACATGTCACTATCATGGGCAAATGGGGTCTCTTAGGACTCTCTGCTGCCAAAATCATAAATGTTAAAGAGTGACAGGTTATCAAATCTGTAATAAATTCAAGTGACTTCTGCAATTGTGCAATGTCAGCACAAAAAGTCAAATCTAAAAGTGTAACAAAATAAGTCTCTTTGTACTTTTGTTTATGTAGACCAGTAGAGTTAGCTGTATGCTTCATGCAGAATTAAAAAGCCTTCATCAATTTGTGCCTCTGATAGAAGAAAATCACAAAACTGGAGAGAGCTTCCTCCAATCACATATAATTATCCGTGCTGTCTATTCTGCTTTTTTCAGTGGGACAGAAAAGCAATATAAAAGCACTTTGCACTTAGTGGAATCACAATCATTTATCTATTTCGAGATGTTTTGTGACAGAAAACACATAAGAATAAAAACAGCATACTGAAATTATAACCTACTATCTATTCTGAGACTCTTTGTGGTACCTCAGTGGCACAAAAACACTCATCGTGTTCAAGCCATAAACAATTATATATTCCAAGAAGCTCAGCAATAGAGATGTCACGCAGATATGCTGTCAATGAATTGAATCTTAAACCCTTTATGTCTGGAGAGTGAATGAAGCAGTTGTCCTGTTGCGTTCCACCTGGATTATGGTGACAACAGACCTGACATGCAGGCCTCCCTCTTGTTAGCAAAAATTAAACACATCCCCTGGGGAGAGCACATAACTTAACTTTCTCATCACGGTCTGTCTTGTTAACAAGGTAACAAGCAACAGAGAGTTAGTTTAGGGTTGTTTTCTTCATGGAATACTGATTATAATACAAAACAGCACAAATACTCAATTTCACAAACAAATCTACCTCATGTCCTGTTATTAATTCACCACTCATCAGTAATTCAAACACAGCTTTTTAGAGTCAGTGACCAAGAAACTCATTCAGAGAATCCCACGTACTAAAACAAGTACTATTAAAAGAGACCTTTACGCAGTAGAACATCATGTAAAGAAATATATCAAAGCACACTGATTGTCAATGATGATGAAGAGGTCATAATTCTGTTGTAGTTGAGTACATGATCAAATCTTCAAATGAATAAAATATTCAGACAAACTGAAATAATTCAATTTCACAAAAGATAATTAACAGTTTACATATAATTTACATAGCAGATTGTGTGAATCTTCACACAAAATGGTTGTTTCAGAACAAATATTAAACTTAACTGAGTATTTGTTGTTCAAATGATATAATAATATTATCATTACTAGTAGTAGAAGAAGAATAAGTAGTATTAGTGATTGTCATATTAATATATTTTACATATTAAGCCAATCCTCAAAAATTTAAAGAGATATACATTGAAGAAGCAGGTAGGCATCAGGCGTCTTGCTCAGAGGCACTTGGGCAGGCACATGCATTAGATGCAGGGATGAAACCTGCAACCTTTCTGTTGCATGAGAGATAATGTGAATAACTATCCAGTTCAGGGCAATACTTTTCTAAAATAATTTTTACTATATGTTTATTCTGTACTATTATGTTTTGTTCATTATATAGTTGCAGTTATTACCAACACTAAAACAAGAGTTAAATAAATATAAAAACCTAAATTACACTGTGAACACTGAACGCTGTTAAAAGTATATTTCAACCTAAAAGTTCATGCAATTTACCATTTTCATTACAATAACAAAACAACATTCACATCACTCAGTACAGAACAACTAAGTTAGTTTCAAGTACAATGTTAGTGGTCAAGAAAATCAGGGTACCTGTTAATTAAATAAGGTTAACTTTGCTGTCCTTACTCATCAAGACTGAGCAGGGCGCTCCTTATATGGCATCCAATTGGGCACACTGGAAAAGTAGTATTGAAGCACAAGGAAGAAACTCATTAACGTAGCAACAAACATCCTTTAACAAGTTCCCCCTCTTAAAATATCTTTCTTAATGTCTCCAAATATGAGCCAACGTGAAATCAGCTCTGAGGAGAAAGGTGTTATATCACACAAACAGCAGACTTGACTCTGTAAACACTCAGGAAACATTTGAAGAAGAAGCCTGTTCAGCTTTATTCCACCAGCCCACCCCCCAAACAGTTCAGCAGCCAAAAAATATCATGCTGAAATTAGACACATTAGTTTTATTTTTTCACTCTTTAACACGTGCTGCACGATTGCCGCCACTTCACAAATATCACGACAATGATATTAACAAGTTGCTGACCTGGTTTTTGTGTGTGTGCTTCCGCTCGGAGTGACAGAGGGCAAGGCGAGAAGAGGGAGTGAGCAAGGGAGACAGAGGTGGACGGGTGAGAGAGGGGAAAAGGGGGTGGAGGTCAAAGTAGGAGTCGGTGTTACGTGTGCATATATTTGTGCTTTGCTTGTGTACGTGTGCACACTTACATATAGAGTTGCAGGAATGGGAGAGTGTCTGTGTGTCTGCAAGTGTGCGTGCGTCTACATCATTGTGTATTAGCTTGCTGTCCCCTCTGTATGTGTGTTCCCTGAGCCAAAAGTGTGTGTGTGTGTGTGTGTGTGTGTATGTGTGTGTGTGAGGTATGCAGTCACACTGTAGCTTCTGTAAGTGAATCTGTTTGTTTATGCTAACATGGGCAGTCGTGCTGGACGAGTCTCTCAGCTTTAAAATAAACTTGTGTGGAAATGTGTCACACACAGAACCCCAGCTCCTTAACTGTGTGTGCGTGTTATGCCTCCCTCCAATCTATTTTTGCGCCCCACCTGTTAATGACATTAAAGCCGACCCGGGGAAAAGGGCTGCAGCAGGGGGCTTGTGTCAGCTCGACCCTGGCTGTGAGGCTTATTTCTGCGGCCACCGCAACGATTCCGCTGATTGAAAAGGGAATTGTAGATTCAACACCTTGAAAACAAATAGGTTGGCTGTCGTTTAGCTTGCATAGTTGGATGTTGGAGCCATGAGTCTGAATCCAACTGGACAGTTATGCAATGCAGCAGTTTATCCACGGTTTGCACTAAAAGACGACTGACCTTAGGGCATTAAAAAGGGTGTAATCTAAACATTTATTTTAAAATGTTTATTGTTGTGCTCAATAAAGTAGATCAACACTTAAAGAAGACGTGTTTAATTGTCTAGTTTCTGACAAACTAGTGTATTTTGTCAGATTATACTTTGTTTCACAAACTTTTTGATGTGGTGAAACAAGCCATTTTTAACTGCCCCTTAATGTGATATCACATTGGGAAGAGGGCCAGGTCCATTACTACAACCAGCCAATCACAGTGGTAGTTTGTGACCAGTGCTACAAGCAGCCTGTTTCATTAGAGCTGGGTGTGGAGCATTGGAAGCCAAAGACATTTTGTTTGTTAAAAAAACTTTGGAGAAAAAATCAATGTGCAAAGATGTGCAGCAGTTTCACAAATTTGTCACAAAAGTAAGAAAATACACTTTTTCAGGTCCAAATACCAGGTCCAAATTATTTACCTTTTCCAAAGCTTCAAACAAATCTCATGGCCTTCCTCAGTGGATGGACTGGATAGTGGAAAACCATGAGACCTTGTGTTTTGAGATTTTTGGTAAATGAATATCAAGGGTGAACATTCAAGCTCAAGGCTCAAAGCTCCTTTAAACTTTGCTACTTTTGTTAGTCATCCATTTCTTCTGCCTTTATGCTAAAACAGGTTTTACCTATGACATAAATACAGTCATTGGAAAAGGAACACAAGGATTTTGTATTAAAGAGGACCAATGTGGGTGCGGTCATTGTTCAGAGGAGAGAGAGCCGGATAGGAGTCATGTTGCCCAGCTTTGACATAAGGCTGTTTCTAAAGGTCCAGTCTGGACCTTATGTTGCCCAAGCAATAGAAATCAGAGACTGTTGTGTCCACATCTTTACAGAGACCTGCCCCACCCAGATCGAGCACTCTGCGAGAGGTCCGTGTTTCTGAGCTGTAAGTGCAAGACTCTGGCAAGATGAGAGGAGGTGTACTCTGTGTTTTACATCAATGGCGCTTGGTGCTGAAACGCAGTCAAGATGGACTCTGTTGTGAGACATGTGAGACTTTTTATGTGAAGATGAAACCATATTATCATCTTCAGTTTCCTTCGGTCTGTCAGAGAAGAGATTAGCAGTCACCTGGAAACAGTCTGGAGAGTGACAATGCAGTATAATTGTGCTGTTTTTTGCCAAATGAGATATTTGCAGGAATGCTGTCATGTAAAATCCCCTCTACTCTCAGTCTCAACTAAGCCGATATTAGCTTATCACAGATAAGTTTAGATTTGTGTATATGCCGGTAAATAAGTAACAAACAAAAACAAACACATCATCAATTTGTTTGCAGTAATTTAGAAACAGTGTTACTATTACATACGGTACTGTTAGTTCACCAGAGAGCACTGACATGTTTATTATTCAACTGTAATATCCCACTCTATACCTATCTAAGTAACTTTATTAAACAAATTCAAGGTATCCTATTGTCTTAATTATTGGTCGACAGTCATATCCAACAACCACAACATTTCCTTGCATCGACACAACAGACAAGAAAGAATACAAGAAATCCAGAAAAAGTCTTCTATACACACTAAGTAGTCCCTTCAACTAATTCGTTATTGATACTAATATATTCATATCATAACATACAATATTAAAACTCAATGACTTTGCACAATGGTAAACATATTCATTCAATAAATATTCCATCCAAGGGTCAGCAGCTGCTGCCTGAGAAAGATAGAGAGAGAATACTGCAGTCAGATGTGCCTGGCATTGTGATAAACGGTGTGTGTGCAAGCAAGAAGGTCAGACAGACAGAGACAGACAGAGATGGAGGACTGAATGTAAGGGAGTGAACGATTAAGTAAAAGACGAGAAGAACAGAGAGGAAAGAGAGAGAAGAACCGAATAATGATGGACAAAGAGACAAGACAGGCTCAGACAGTTACCTCACTGCTGAGCCAGAGCAGCCAAATTAAAATGCACAGCATGCTGAGGTGGACGATGGAGGCTGTAGAGCAGTCCAGAAATATCCACTGATTACACAGGTTTTTTGGCCCTGAAGCTACTGAAGCTACCAGTTAACATTTGTTTAAATTATTCAATATTGTGTCTGGTTTATCTGAAGTGATTAAACATAACAAAACAATGGAACAACAATGGAATTTCAACCTTCCACCTTTTGTTTTGTCCCATAAAGCTAAACAGCTTTTCCTTGCATGGAAATGCAAGGAAATGGAGCTGAATGCATGGATAACTTTGCATATTTGTGAATTTTCAAGCAAGATTTTCACCGGATGATTTATTAATACAGATGTGTGTGGTTTTGTGAATTGATAGCAAGATATATCAACAGCTTTGATGTATTGATTGCCTTCTTTTGTAGCACTGTGATATGTCATTACAACTTCAGTACATTTCCTAAATGTTTAAAAATCACCAAAATGTATAGTGGCTTAACTGACTTCACTTTTTGATTTTACCCTATTATACAAGAATGGGGACTTCACACCAGACTTCACAGTCTTCTGCTATTGTCCTACAGGAGTGTCTGAAGGTTGGGTGCTTTGTTCAAGGACAAATGGAAAAGACGAAGAAGTGTTATTTATTCACTTTGTTCTTCCAGTTCACCCAGCCAATCATGGGATATGAACCATGGGATATGACCTCCCAGTGTGCTGACTCCTTTAGCATATTATTCTTTTTTAAAAGAAGTCATGTGTTAATTCACTTGTGTATCTTTTTAAGGAAAACTGCGGCACTAAATCTGACCGTGCATCTGTCCCTGGTGCGGTAGTGAGCCCGAACCATAAGATGGCACCACCTGGTAGGGAGGCATGCAGGGGAGCGAGTGGTGAAGGGTGCGATGCTGAGCCGCGCTGATTCTTAACCTCCTGAGCCCTGACGCATCATTCAGAGTCAACCCTGAACTTGTGTGTTGCAGTGAAGTCTGATGAGATTACAACAACCGGGAGGGGCAAGAGGATTCATTAGGATGTATGACCTGTTGGGGATGAAGCTGGCTTCCGTTCAGGTTCATGTTTACAGACTGAGACTCTACACCATTGCAATTCTTGTCACATCTTTGTCATACACAAACTGTATCAGATGGCCAATTTCTGAAAAAATGAAAATAGATGTGCCACTCTCTACTGATTACTAAATTCAGGACTGTCTCCCAAAAGAAGCTTTAGTAGTTTCATACATAAATACAAGAACAGTGTTGATCGTTCACCTCGTTGTCTTTTGTCTCAATCGTCGGGGGATGCAGTGGTTCACTTGTACTGTGTGATCGGTAACGTTAGGCTTTACGTCCGTTTGAGTCAGTTTGAGTCAGTTTGACAGCCTGAATACAACCTTCAAATGTATAATGCAACAGCTAAACTGTGTGCTTCTTTCTGAGATCGCTTTTTCCAACAAATTTGACAATATTTCTCCAGGGAGTGCAGTATTAGACAGTGGCAGCACCAACAGTTTGTCGGACTTATCAACAGTAACTAAGGGCGGCGGGGCTTAGCGAAGGGTCAATTGGAGAAAAGGAATGTATAAATATAAAAACATTTGGAAAGCAGAAAAGAGATGTTTTGAGGAAACAAATGGTGATGATGGCAGCCTGCAAGTGTGTCTAATCAAGCTCACCCCTTCTTCCTGATCTGTCTCTCTCAAATTGTGACTACCGATTGTCTCTACCCAGTGTGTTATTTTTGTTCTTCATTGTCTCTGTGACCTCCTTATTCATCTGCTCACTCCCTCCATCAGCAACTCTCCACCATCTGTAGTTGTGATTGCATAAAAGACAATTAGACATAATCATCCATCTGCGTCAGCAATGACCTGCAGGTCACGGTCCAAATAATCATATAGAAAAAGGTTTCCATTTTTTTAATCATGTGTTACGGTAATTATAGCAGAACAAAACTCAGACAAAGGGAGAATTATGTTGTGAATTTGTGAAACTTGGGGAGTATAAAGCTTCATTAGTTTACTTATTGTCGACAACAGCACTTTAAAGTCTTAAAAATTATCTTAAGGAAACAGACTGCTTCTGAAAAATTGGGTACTACGTCCGTGAGCACAGGTCTTTGCAATGTGCACCCAAAGACTTCCACAATTACTTATTGTGACTTGCAAGAAGAGCTGGCACGCGCCTCTTAATATCTGAAATATCAGCTTCTTTTCGATGGTTGACTCCTGGTTTGGTTCACTGACAACGTATTTCAAATGTCGTTGGGGAAAATATCTGATCTTGCAACACAATATCCGTTTGTAGGTACTAAAGCGTTGTAAACCTTTTTGTGGTTATGTTTAGATACTCACAGCACTTG